AAGCACAAAGACTTTTCTCGCCGTTAAAGACGTTGCTTTTAATCCTACCATCAAAAATCCCGAATCTCTACACGTACCCATAAAGCAATCGAAAACCGATCCGTTTCGCCAAGGAACTACTCTGGCTATTCCAAAAAGTCACTCGTCAGTGTGTGCTGTCATCGCCTTACGGGAGTATCTACTGCAACGAAACCCAACAAACATTGATGAACCGTTATTTATGCTGCAGAACGGCGAACCACTCACCAGAACTATACTTAGTGCTAATCTAACAGAACTCTTGAATATTTTAGGTTATATAGAAAACGAATACGCTCCGCATAGTTTTAGAATCGGAGCAGCTACAACTGCTGCGGCAGCGAACTTACCACCATGGTTAATTAAAACTCTAGGTCCATGGCGTTCAGACTGTTACGAACTGTACATTCGTATACCAGGAACAATAATTAACTCAGTTCCTCAAAAACTAGCTTCAGTACTTAATCCTTAAATATTACAATATATACTTATTATGCGATCAATATTAACATATCTATAACATCCTATAATCTATATCCATACTTTGGCTCATTTCCGTTCATCTCCCATGCATGCTTCACGCGGGGGATCTACACTACGGGCGCTTTCCATTAACACAGCCAGACCGGTCAGAACGTCAAATCGTTGAATGAAACACAAAACTTTTGGGCTTCGGTTCTATGCGACCAAAAAATTTAGATAAAAATTAGAATGAGGTCCGTTCTCGCTAGATATTTGAGAACACAGACCAGACCTTTCCATTGATAGAAAGTAAAAAAAAATAAAAAAATTCGGGTTTGACCGGACAGGCCATTAAATGAAAAGCGCTCTACGTTTCGATCTGTGGCGGAAGGTGGTGTCCATTCGGCCACGTACACTTTGCCCACGGTGAAGCACACACACACCAGAAAGGAGAGCAAGGTCCATAACGCCGAGGGCCCCTTACCCTCGACCTGACCTTGGCTCTCTCCGTTTCTCTCACTTCACCACGGGAAACCAGGCCCGGACATGGGATTCCATGTCCATAACGGTGATTGGGCCTATACCCTCATCCTGATGTTGTTTCTCCAGCTGTTCTGGGAGGCCTATACCTCCCAGAAACCGCACTTTTCCGCCACCCGATTTAGTCCACAAAGGATTTGCGTGAATTATTAAGGACTAATTTATTTTTAAAATTAATTGGGATTAATATGGCGCAACATCTCCACTTACAAAACCTGTTAAAATCCCAAAAGATAAGCTAAGAAAACAGATATTCGGCTAAACTTATTAAACTTATCTTCTGCCAATCCTTGCCCAGTCTACGACACTAATGGAATTTACTGCTAAGCCTACATTCCTTGGTTATCGGCAAAACCAGTCAAAAACAGGCTCAAGCTCATTCTGTGCAAAGCTGCCTTCGAGTAGACATCAACGAAAAACCCACCCACCCAACCCTCAAATGAGGGATAGGGAATAAATAGCAAACATTTTTATTCATATCTACCTAATTAATGGTGGAAGAGACATGTAAATATCGTACATCCAACTTGTAACTAATTTTACATATTTCGAGAAATAAACGGAACGGGGCGGAAGGTGGTCTCCGTCCGCACTTTGCCCACGGTGAAGCACACACACACCAGCAAGGACAGCAAGGTCCATAAGCCGGGGGCCCCTTACCCTCGACCTAACCTTGGCTCTCTCTGTTTCTCTCACTTCACCACGGGGAAACCAGGCCCGGATATTGGATTCAATGTCCGTAACGGTGACTGGGCCTATACCCTCATCCTGACGTTGTTTCTCCAGCTGTACTGGGAGGCCTGTACCTCACAGAAACCGCACTTTTCCGTCACCCAATTTAGGCCACAAAGGATTTGCGTGAATTATTAATATAAAATATTTTCCGTGACGATACACAGGGCGGAGTGTTTTCAAACAATTTCCACGAGTGTTGATATAACTGTTTATATCACATTTGTGTCGGTTTTCTTTGATCGTTCGAGGTTTATAACTAGCTTATATACCTTGAATAAATGATTAGATTAAACTTGTAGACAAAATGCGAGAATTTTTCATTAAAAATTTTTGAAAATGACAAAATATGTTAGAAAACCTCCACAAATGTGATATAAGTTAGTTATAAACCTCGAAAGTCGGTTTATAACTGATATATTGCCCTCGGACGCTACGCGTCCTCGGGGGCAATATATCAGTTATAAACCTCCTACTCGGTTTATAACTCTAACATATCAATAGAGAAAAAAAATATTTGTTTTATAATATAGCACAAAGAAATATAAAGAAAGAAATTTTCCGAAGTTTCTGTGTTGACTTTCAGTTATATCAGCACGGCTCTTAGCCATTCAGCGTTCAGAATTTACAAATGCTAGGTAATAAAGGTATTTATACTTCAAACGAACAAGAAATATATGATTTGAAATGCATATTAGTAGTGTGGTCCACATTTGGTCGAAGAAAACATACCAATGTATTCATTCTTTTCTACTAAAACCTATTCGCAGATATCGTATTAATAACAAATTAAATTATAATTTTCAAACTTTCAATTAGTTAAATTTTGCTTTTTTAATTTGTTTTAAAATGCATGCGTTGTTTTTACGTAATGGATCGCCGGTCCATTACAAGAAGATAATTTACCGCTGAAAGCGCCTCTCAGCTAAACACAGTCCGCTATTTCAACGGAAGTGATGCTTGCCATATTATCTAATATTATGAAAACCTTGCGTTTTCTTTGCAGACAAGCACGCAAAATAAACTTCCTGTTAGCCACAAATTAAAGTTTCACGCGAAGATGACGCCTGATCTATATGTAATAATGTTTTCAACTGTACTAATTGTAGGGAGCAATCCTCAAATTCTCGCAAAATGAAAAACAACCTTTCCCTCTAGCTTGTACTCACGCATGCGCATAACATTGAAAACCGTCCATCCCATGATGGATGGCGACTTTATACTTGTCCTCATATACCCAGGTATAAATAGCCGTGCGGAATTTTTACCGCTCCCCTGGGCTTACGCTTGCAACGGCTCTAGCGCCGTTGGCTTGTGGATAATTTTACTGTACCTTTTAAATGCTCGTCGATATTTGTAAAATACTTGCTAGATTCGTCGTAATCTGCACTTGCGAGAGTAAGTGATCCATCCGATTCAGCGTAAGTAAGAACGAGTCCAAGTATGGAGATTTTATTATTAGAAGACGTACGACTACCACCATTGGAAAAAGCTCTGAACCAGTGAAATTTACCATTTTCGTTTGCGGTTACCCACCAGTAATGACTTGAAAAATAAATAAATATTAACAAAGCAATTAATTGAAATACAACCCTTGGGAACCCTTAAAAAGCAGTATGTTATCCTTACTTGCGTTTAGCCAATCTTGACATTGATTTTTGAATATTGTTTCGACTTCCACGAAGGTCAACGTCCATGTCAAAAATAACATGAAATACCTCTTCTTGATTAAATATATCGTTCCACCTTGGAATGGCAAGTGAACCTTCCAGATCCTGAGTCTCACATCCTCCATCCCCAGCTTGGAGATTCATATCTGTTGCAGACACTGGTCCCTTGTAATGAAAGTAAAAGCAATAAGGAACCTGTTTGTTGCACTAATGGTTTGACTAAAACCTAAAGGCGATATTAGCCGAATAATTTTAATGACAATTTGTGACAGAAATACATCATGTTAAACGATTGCGAAACGTAATTATTTCGTGGGCATGTTGCGCTACGAATGGATAATTGAAAAAGTTACAAGGAAGGTTTCTTCCATGAAACCTTCCTTGTCACTTTTGAAAATTTTGGGGTTTTGTCGTTTTTAGGTTTTCTTCCAAATGAATGAAATCCCAGCCGCACACATATTCACACATATCAACGTTACGTCTAGTAACGTTATCTGCGGAGGCTAAAGTTAATACATGCAACAATACTTGTTATCCACGCAAGAAATGCGGTTATCTTTTCATGTGACGAGATCAAGATACCTAGTCCAACCCTATCCTCCTAACCACTTATATTTCGTGACTGCGAAACATGAAAATGCAACCAAAAATGCCGTAACCAGTAACCACGCCCAAAAATGTGGAGATTTAACCTTTAGAGAAAATTGCGTCCATTATGCGAAATCCATAATGCTATATCGAGAATATACAGTAAGTAGCCATTTAAGTGGCTGTCTCACTAAGAACCATGCAGAGCGTTTCAGGTTGAAAATTAGATTTCCTTTATATTTTTACCATGAACTACCTTTGTCCTAAAAGGTATTAAACTAATATTAGAATTTCCAAATTTTTCTTTTTTTCCGAGTTATGACGAATTTTTGTCTGGACGTCAGCGACACTGAAATTTGACCCCGAAAACGGCGGTAAAATGTGTGTTAAATTGTGCATCATAACTCGGGAAGTTTCGCGTCAAATTAAAAACTTTTTTCAGCGTATTGAGACATATTCTTCTTCTTTTAGAATGTTGAAAGAATTTGAATGTACATCTTATTTTAAGCCTACTAGTCTCCATCCAAGGATGTCGGTATTTTCATTCGCCGAACAACATATGATTAGGTACAAAATTCAAACTAAAAATTCTCAAAAGTGCAACCTACCTGGTGTCTAAAACACTTTTAGGGTTAAAGTAGAATACTTAAAGTTATGTTATTCGCAATAAAACTTGTCGGCAAAAGGAATATGAGGGAGTGCGAAATTCATAAATTATGGTTATAAATAGCTCTATTGTTTACCTTTGTGATAACCGGAAGCACGTTCAGCGTTACTCGCGGAGTTTTTATAAATTTATATCAGCAATTAATATAAATATAAAATAGTGTTTATAAGTTCTTATATTTGAATACAAACACCGCCTTGTAATTTTTTTAAGCTTTCGGAAAGCCTTTACAATTGATCGTTTTAAACAACATAATGTACAATATATTATCGTTGTTTAATACGTACTGATGAGTGTGTCATAAATAGAATACACGCCATATTACGAAAGCAACAATATACTAAACTTTATAGTTAACTTGCTACCTGGATAGTTATTTTTCGCGTGTTAATTCTTCAACAAACAATTTAATCTCGCAAATTTAATCTTTAATCAAACGTTTGGGAGTTGTCGAAAAAATTTCGAGGTTAATAAATTGTGTTAGGCCACATAAAATAAATTCCTTGATTCTCATCACTAGACTTTGAAAATGTCGAAGAGCCAGGAGGTTTATATTTTATATTTATATAATTTATCATCAATAAATAAAAAAATAATTCCTAACATTTAATATTTCTGTGATTTCCAAAGTGAAATGTCACAAACCAAAATGAACATATTTCTCCACGAACAATGACTGAACCCTTGAACTGAATGCGAAGTTCCGTTAAAATGCAATGAAATTTCTTTCAAGGTTCTATTTGTTTGAAATTGGCAGTTTAAAATGGCACTAAAAACCCAATTTTAAATATAAAAAACTGAACTGTCTTGAAATATTTTTCGGGCGGTTCATTTATATTGTATAACAAAATATAAAAAAATTTCACGCGGCTCTTAATATACAGACGGGCGGTGATGAGAATCAAGGACTTATTTTATGTGGCCTTACTGTAGTCTGTATGCCAAGGGGATTACGTTGGTAGCCAATTCAGTTTAAGTTTCTTTAATTTATAAAATAATAATAAAAAAACACGAAAATAATAGCAGAAAATAATGGCAGACGCAATGTATACAAGCTGTTCTTGTTCTTCAATGTGCCATTGTTAAAACTAATTATTGGAGTATAACTTACCTCTTAAATAATATCAATTACAGTGTTCCTTTGTAATTTCCACACCTGTTTTGTTTAACAGAAAATTAACGCAAAGAAGTGCCGTTTTTACATATTTCTAGAAGCTTACTAGTTTAGTTTTGATTATGGAGAAAAGTTGTTCATTTTTTGGCGTTGGTGGAATTTCTTGTGGTGAAAGTCGTGGATTACAGGACATTAGTTGCTTATTTGATTGTAAGGAAGATATGAGTGTTCAACTATCAAACTGTCATCTTTCTAAATCGAACTTGAGAGGAAACGAGTTAATTGCTATTCGCGCGGGAATGTTCAATCTTACCGAAGACCAATTTAAGATGATGTTTATTTGTCCGTCCCACCGTCACAATTTGGAACGATCTTGGAGGCCGCTAAGCAGGGCATTTTTTAACTATATAACTGGGGGGGGGGGCAAAGCCCCCCCCCAGCCCCCATGGTGGCCCCCCCACTCAACCATTTTGGCCCCCCAGTCAAAGTCCCTTTTCTCTAAAATATAAGCAAAACATGGAATTTAGAAGGGAGGTTTGATATTCTAGTAACTGAAATTTGCTTTGTGAATCTTATGTCCTGTCTTTTATGTTTAATAAATACCTTATTAGATTTTAAACATTTCCCAGGCAGTGGATTGCATTTCCCAGACCCTATAGATTTGAGTTGTTGGACTAGTTAGTGACCGCAAGGGGCAACAGGCCCTCAACCAAGTGTTTTATAAGGGGGGGGGTAATTTTGGCCCCCACCAAAAAAAAACCAATTTGATTTCGAAACTAGAAGTATTTGAAATCATATATACATATAATCAAATATCTGTAATCGATATTTTGATAACATTTCTCGTAATAATCCATCCTGACTCGCGGATATCATAGACTCACAAATCATAATGAACGAATTAATGAAAGGGCCAAACAAAAGACGTATAGAAGACTTTGAAAATGCCATTTCCGATGATTTAGAGACGCAAAATTTTCAAAATATTTCCGTTCTGTGCCAACCATGGTGGCGCTTCGTGGGAGTCGGGAACTCTAAGTTTATCAAGCTGGCTCCCTAAGTGACGGCCAAGTTGTGGTATCTACATAAAAAACATACTATGCAAGTACTTAACTGAAGGTTCAGTCTATCTACAGCATAATGTAATGCTGTATATCCAAAAATCTGTTTCAGAAAATGCAGGGAATTGCAGTCATAGGGGTAGAAAAATACAAAAATTTTCTGGGGGAGAAAGCCCCAGACCCTCTCCAGGGCCGTAGCGACCGCGGGGGGGGGGGGCCTGGGGGGCTGCAGCCCCCCAATAATTTGCTAATAATCATTCATTTTTCAAAATCATGCAGACCTTTATTATTTAATCCATGACAAACTGCAAAGAATGAAGATATTACCCATACTTTCCTGCAACTTATCCAATATATCGTTAATTAAATCTTTACGTGTTGTAATTAATTCTTTACGTGTTGTAATTAGTACTTTAATGACGCGGAGGGAAACTGCAGATAACTAGAGTAAGTTTACGTGTTCTTCATGAAGGAGAATGCGTAAGTTTACGTGTTCTTCATTTTGAGGCGAAAGCACAAAGAGAAATGCTTGTGGACAACTTGTGGAAAATTAATGCTTGCTGAGATCGACGTATGCCATCTTATATACCATGACGCGTATGATTTATATCACATGTACAAACAGAAGAGCCCATCTGTTTTTAAAATAACGATGCTGAAAGAAATTTGTGTGCATTTTGAACTTCAGTTCAAATCAAAGGATAAAATACAGACTCTCATAGATAAAATACCATCCATGATTGGGCAATGCACATGTTTCCACATAAATAACTAAACTGTGCAGGTGCGGACAAATACTCCCAGACTAACTTGGACATGTCGAGAGATGTCATTGTTCTAACCCAAATTAAGCACTATAAAAAACACCGCATGCAAACTACGATGTAATGTATTTTTTATTGGTATAATTTATACTATTATTATGAGACAAATCAACTTTTGCTGAAAAATACCAATTGAAGTGGAAAGTTATTCACAGAATGGCGATTAGCTGCAAACTACTGAAAAAATTATTATTGCTGTATAGATTAAAAATAAAGGACAGATCTCAGTATACTTCGCAGCTAGTCAATGTCAATGCAACTAAGATCGTTTTATAAGATGAATTGAATGGTTTGCATGAAAGGACAAAAATTCTCACAAATGGGCAATGCGGAAAACTTTTAACAGAATATAATAACAACTTCATGGATTCAATTTATTAATTCGATGCGACGTTAATTACGGCAACACACATTTACGACATTGACATTGTCCGATCATGAGGGATACAACGTCCTAGACGAATTTATTTCTTCTGACCGTTTTAGACCTCAAAGATCCGTCGCATTTCATCGATCGAATTAAACTTTTCTGAGTTAAATACAATGATTGTGCAATATATTAGTCACTATAAAAACTCCGCGAGCAACCTTGAACGTGTTTCCGGTTATCACAAAGGCATATGACAAAGGTAAACAATAGAGCTATTTATAGCCATAATTTATGAATTTTGCACTCCTTCATATTCCTTTTGCCGACAAGTTTTATTGCGAATAACATAACTTTAAGTATTCTACTTTAACCCTAAAAGCGTTTTAGACACCAGGTAGGTTGCACTTTTGAGAATTTTTAGTTTGAATTTTGTACCTAATCATATGTTGTTCGGCGAATGAAAATACCGACATCCTTGGATGGAGACTAGTAGGCTTAAAATAAGATGTACATTCAAATACTTTCAACATTCTAAAAGAAGAAGAATATGTCTCAATACGCTGAAAAAAGTTTTTAATTTGACGCGAAACTTCCTGAGTTATGATGCACAATTTAACACACATTTTACCGCTGTTTTCGGGGTCACATTTCAGTGTCGCTGACGTCCAGACAAAAATTTGTCATAACTCAAAAAATAAGAAAAATTTAGAAATTCTAATATTAGTTTAATACCTTTTAGGACAAAGGTAGTTCATGGTAAAAATATAAAGGAAATCTAATTTTCAACCTGAAACGCTCTGCATGGTTCTTAGTGAGACAGCCACTTAAGAGGCTGTCTCTCTAAGAACCGACCAATGACTCTCCGCTTATAAAATGAAATTCTTCGTTACTTTCACAATGAAATGTATATACCCCAAGAACAAACAAACACTATTTGGAATTTTGAAATCATATTAATTTTTAAAATTTCAGCGACTTTTCGGTCCCGCGCCGTCGGGCAGAAAATCATCTGCCTAAATCAGGAATAAAAATTAGCCGAATTCAAATACATATAATTTTAAAAGTATTCAACCAAATTTTATGATTTTTTCACCCACCAACGTGAAAATTATTCTACTTTGAAACTTGCCTTGTTTGTGATACTTTTACAGAAAGATTATGGCAAACTTTAGCGATAACAAGCACCGGGTGTAAATACGGCTTTGTACGCATATCAAATTCGACTTTAAATTTCTCAAAAGTGGCACCTAACTGGATTCAGTGACTAATATGGTTAAAAAAGGGAAAGTTTGAAGTACCAATATCCATAATAAAACTTGTTACCAACCGCGATTTGAAGACTCGACAGCCTCTGAAATTTGATACAATTTGGCTATTTTGTTTAGCTTCAATTGTAGCGGAGTTGGGACATCAGAGCTTCCAGTCGCTTGTAAAATGCGCTGTTGTTCCGTTTTTTTACACAAGCCGTTAATATCATCGTCGTTAAGCGATTTTTCTGTGTTCATGAACATCACAAGTAGATTTAACTCGGAAAGATTTCGATCGATGCAGCGAGGTAAACGTGGTATGCTTTCGTATTAAAATTAGCTACTCGGGGAAAACCCGGAAATTATTGTCAAATTGTCAATGCTGATATTTATTAATCTAAATCCTTATTCTGTGATCTAAACCCTGTATGTCTATTCTGCACGATTGGAAATGAATTTAAACTGGAAAAAAGACTTGATCTAGAAGACTACTATAGATACTGATTATTCAAAAAGATCCAGTTGCAATCGTGCATGCCAATTGAATTGGATTTGGATTATAGTTCGAATTATTAGTGTTTCAACCAGGGCTTGGCTGAAATTTAATAGAACAGTCATATATGGAATAGTCTCCAAATGACCCCAACTCTATCCTGACCCCTACCCTACACCCACCCCACCTCTATTGTGATGTCATTTGAGGACCTTTATATCAACTTCACCTGGAATTCCCGACAGGTCCCTATTAAACAAATCACTCATTGCGGTTCATATCTTCAGTTCGGTAAATGCTACGTGGACCAAAATACCACCATTCGATTCAGTGTAACGATAGCTACTCATTCCTATCGATAGATTTAGTGAATGGCAACATTATAGCGATTTATGAGCTTTGAAAGTCAAACGAGCTCGTATATGAATAAATATGATCAAATTACGCAATATTACTGACAAATTATAAACATAAACATACCTTTCGCCGAATATAACTTCGTTCCATTGAGACGTATGCTCATTCTGATGTTCTTGCTGCAATAAGAAGTTGAAAATAACACGTATAGTGTTATTTTCAAGCTTCTATCTTTAAAATTCGACATTTAGTGCCGAATTTTGTATTTCTGCTCCGAATATGCGTTAATCCCAACCGGAAATACGAAGAAAAACCGTCAAAACAATGCGACGCTTGCATCGCGTGACTCTGGAAATGCCAGAAATGGATTCTACAGGTCAAAGTGCACACATACGCGTGAGTTTTACGTCATCCCGGCTAAAGGGAGCTCCTTATTGGCCAAGTATTACGTAATACAAGCGCGTGCTAGTAAAACCCGATACCTTGAAAAATTCAGAATAAATATTTCTAGTCGGCGTATACATACGAAACTTTCTGCACGAAAGCGCTTGAATACAAAGAGTATTTTACACATATCCTTTCAGGAAATGACACCAAAGTTTAGAATATATTCAACTTTTTCTAATTTTCTCGTTTGAATGTTTGGCGAAGCGGTGAGTGTAAATATATGATTGTTTCGGTTTGTGTAATGTTTTGACGGCACTTGACCCCCCGTTCGAAAGGTTATATTGTGAGGATTTCAATGGTGGCATTTATTTAATAGGGGGGTAAATACTCGCCGAGATATTTATATTAGAAAAATTGTATCGAAATGTAATACGAAACCGGTTGTCGGGAAAAAGTTAAGGAGAGCTAATAAAGGGTGAAGTTTATTTTCATACAAGAGTTTTCAAATGACGTCACAAAAACGCGAGGTTGGGGTAGGATCGTACTGGGGGGGTGGGTAGGCCAGGGCATGTGGGGACTCTTATATGAAACGTCGGCCAGAATAATGGTATAAACTGTCCACGATGTATTCAAAAAGGGGAATGTTAATTAATGCGTAAATTACCCTCAATAAAGTATCATGTGAAGATATAGTGGGGAATCGAAATTTTCAAATATATACTAATGGAATTGCTGTGCATTACACGGAAGAGAAGCTATAGAAACAAGACAATACGCCATGTTTCTGGTTTTCTGCTAATAAATGGCAGTAATTGTTGCACGATTAGACTGTTTATGACGGGAAGTGCCAAAATTAGCAATGACTCTATTTTACCTCGCTTACCTCACTGTAACGTTTACCTCGCTGCATCGAGCCAAATCTTTTCGAATTAAAACAACTTCTGATGTTCATGAACACGGAAAAATCGCTTAACGGCTTGTATGGAAAAAAACCCGGAACGACGGCGCATTTTACAAATGATTGGAAGCTCTGGCGTCTCAACTGGGTTAGGTTAAAACGCGGAAGCGGATGCGGAACGGAACGGATATGCGGAACGGAACGGATATGGGGTTAAAATGCGGAACGGAACGGATATGGGGTTAAAATGCGGAACGGAACGGAAATGCGGAACGGAACGGATATGGGGTTAAAATGCGAAACGGAACGGATATGGGGTAAAATGCGGAACGGAACGGATATGGGGTTAAAACGCCGAACGGGAATAAAACGTTTTTTAAAAACAGACATGATTTTTCATGTTCCGCGTTTTAACCCCATATCCGTTCCGTTCCGCATTTTAACCCCATATCCGTTCCGTTCCGTTCCGCATTTCCGTTCCGTTCCGCATTTTAACCCCATATCCGTTCCGTTCCACATTTTAACCCCATATCCGTTCCGTTCCGTTCCGCATATCCGTTCCGTTCCGCGTTTTACCCCCATATCAGTTTCGTTACGTTCCGCACATCCGTTCCGCATCCGTTCCGTTCCGCATCCGCTTCCGCGTTTTAACCTAACCACGTCTCAACTCCGCGATAATTGAAGGTAACAAATTTCAGAGGCTCTGGGAGTCTTCAAATCGCGGTTGGTAACAAGTTTTATTGTGGATATTGGTACTTCAAACTTCCCTTTTTTCAAGCATATTAGTCACTTAATCCAGTTAGAAGCCACTTTTGAGAAATTTAAAGTCGAATTTGATATGTGTACAAAGCCGTATTTGGACTTGGTGCTTGTTATCGCTAAAGTTTGCCATGATAGTTTTGTAAAAGCATCATAAAACCAGGTAAGTTTCAAAATAGAATAAATTTTACGTGCGTGGGCGAGAAAAATCATAAAAGACATTGTGAAAGTAACGAAGAATTTCATTTTTTGAGCCTAGAGCCATTGGTCGGTTCTTATAAGAGAGATAACCTCTTAAATTCATTCCCAATCGTGCAGAATAGACATACAGAGTTTAGATTAATAAATATCAGTATTGTCAATTTGACAATAATTTTCGGATTTTCCCCGAGTAGCTAATTTTAATACGAAAGCGTACCACGTTTAATAATACCTCGCTGCATCTATCGAAATCCTTTTTAATTAAATCCACTTGTGATGTTCACGAACACAGAAAAATCGCTTAACTACGATGATATTAACGGCTTGTGTAAAAAAACGGAACAACAGCGCATTTTACAAGTGACTGGAATCTCTGACGTCTCAACTCCGCTATAATTGAAGCTAAACAAAATAGCCAAATTGTATCAAATTTTAGAGGCTGTCGAGTCTTCAAATCGCGGTTGGTAACAAGTTTTATTGTGGATATGGGTACTTCAAACTTCCCTCTCTTTAACCATATTAGTCACTGAATCCAGTTAGGTGCCACTTTTGAGAAATTTAAAGTCGAATTTGATATGCGTACAAAGCCGTATTTACACCCGGTGCTTGTTATCGCTAAAGTTTGCCATAATCTTTCTGTAAAAGTATCATAAAACAAGGCAAGTTTTAAAGTAGAATAATTTTCACGTACGTGGGTGAAAAAATCATAAAATGTGGTTGAATACTTTTAAAATTATATGTATTTGAATTCGGCTAATTTTTATTCCTGATTTAGGCAGAGGATTTTCTGCCCGACGGCGCGGAAATTTTAAAAATTAATAAGATTTCAAAATTCCAAATAGTGTTTGTTTGTTCTTGGGGTAAATACATTTCATTGTGAAAGTAACGAAGAATTTCATTGTATGAGCCGAGAGTCATTGGTCGGTTCTTAGAGAGACAGCCTCTTAATAGTTTTGTTTGCGGAAACAGCACGTCAATTTATTACTGCAAAGCTTTCAATCCGTATGCCCGAATCTTCATCAGTGCTAATAATATGTGACTTGTTCAATGCACGCGCCCTTTTTATATACCAAAGTGTCGTGATCTGTTGGCTCGCGTGATTTGAAATTTAATTAAAGGACCTTTAATCGATTATATTTGAAATTTAATCAACACGTCATTTCGTAGTTGAGTGATTCTAATTAACGCGCGCGCACCCAAGACAAGAGAAATTAATTTCGCACATTAAAGAGAGCACACCACGTACTATCTAGTGGCTTTCCCTCCTGATCTATGGTATTGTGCTTCTCGATTTAAATTGACTCTCTCCTTTTGCGAGAGAACTTATGTTATTAATCGCCAAAATGGTTGCTTCGTCCCATTTTATACGATGGTCGTAAGTCCAAATATGTTTAGCCACAGCAGATTTATCTTGCTCAACTTTCTCGCAATTCGTCTTATGTTCCTTTAGGCGTACTGAGATATTTCGACCAGTTTAACCAATGTAAACTAGACCACATTCACAAGGAATGCGGCACACCTAATTGCTGTAAAACAGCAAAATACGTCTTTCCAAAATGAAAAACAATTATTAGAAAAGAGCTTGTACTCGCGCATGCGCATAACGTCGAAAACCGACCACGACATAAACAAAATAGAGGACAACTTTGCACTTCGCTATGTTTTCACATACCCGGGTATAATTAGCCGTGCATTTTCTGAGATTCATTCATGTTGTCCTTATGTGCGCAAAGAGCTCCAAACAATTTGTTTTCGCTGGAATGGTATACCTTTATACCTGCTTCATTCTTCAAAATCCTCTCGATTTTGTGTGAAGCCGGACCAAAGTATGGTAAATCATCAGACGACTGATATTCTCTCGCAAAATGAGAGAGTCAATTGAAATCGAGAAGCACAATACTAGAGATCAGTAGGGAAAGCCACTAGATCGTACGTTGCGTGCTCTCTTTAATGGCCGAAATTAAATTAATTTCTCTTGTGTTGGATGCGCGCGTGTTTTTAGACAGATATAGAAAAGACGATGCGACCTCAAAGACGACGTGAAAATGACGTATGCACCTCGCGTTCACTTCCGGGTTTTAATCCGGGACGGCTTGTATGTCTTTTTCGAAGCAAATTTTTGTTTTCTTGTTACCTGCTCATTCCTGTATTGTTTTCAATCAATTGTCAAGTTATGTGCAAAAAAGGCTATATAATACTGGCCAAGTGTTTCCTGATGAATTAGTATGAGCATTCCAAAATTTTTCTTAGAAAAAGACGTATATTTCGGTATTTTGAAAAGTAAACTTTGTTGCATAATTTGGAATAAACACTATAGCTGCAGATTTTGTTTACGAGCTAAATGCTTTAGTTTGTAGCCTATTCAATCAAGTTTGTCAACTGTTTAGTATAAATAATACATCAGTGCTTATATTGGTAAAATTTAATACTGTTTACGATAGTTTTTCACGCAGGAAAGCGTTTTTTTACTTCTACTTCTTCGCACTATTGTGGCAGAGCAACTAAAATTGATTGAGTTTTTATTGATTTTAAGTGCTTTTATTCTTCTATCTTCCCAAGTTTTCCTGATTTTAAACAGTTGTTAATATAACTTCAGTTCAGTTTGTTCTAAAATGTTTGCTTTGGTGACGAAAACTAGCGGTATTGAAGTGGTTATTAACAATGCTTGCAGTTTTGTTGTTTTGTTATAGCGACGGAAAGTATTTGTCAAAAATTAACACGTTCAAAACTTAGCGAAATACAAGAAAAACAACCTTGTCAATGAAAAACCTTTAACTAGAAACATTAAACAATACATAATAGGATGACAACAAAATAGGATATTTTTATCATGCTTACTTTCATATTTCTTTCAAAAGAAGCATAAATCTGTAAAGTTCTAGAGAGGACGTGAAAATTGTACTTTCGCGTCGAGAAATCGTCCAAGACGACGTGGCAAACCAGAAGCTGACGATAGTTGAATGACGACATCCACGCAGTGAACTCTAAGAGAACTGGAACGATAACTTGGCCGCCATCTTTGAAGACACTCATGATGGCTGCCATGTAGGTATGGAGTGGAAAATACGCCGCCTAAAAGATGTCCGTTTTCGACAACTAAATAGCTGTAGTTCAACGAGGAAAAAAGCTGAAAACTTTCAGCAATACCTAAAATTTAATACAAAACATGTTTCCAGAACGTAGAGCAGTTATAGAGTTCTTTTTTCAGGAGTCAAAGTGCGAAGTTTTTTTCGGCACGTTTAAACTTCTGTAATATATTGAATATCAAGCTGTTACCCAGGAAGTTTTTGCTGTTTGTGGATGTAAAATACATAGAACTATCCAGGAAACCAGGTTTGAATCTTTAAAGTTGAAGACTTTCGATAAAAAAGTGCTTTTCCTTGCTGATTTTCGCTCAAAAACAACCTTTGACTGATTTCCCGCTCCTCGAAACTCTCCCCAGTCCTTTTGAAAGTTAATTTATTGCTCGCTAAGCTTGCGAGAAGCGCCATCTTGGCTTCGGGCAAGTATGGGCATGTTTACCTGCAGTTAGCGTTCCAGTGTTGTTACAGTTCACTGCATCCACGTCGCTAAACGACGACACCCACGTCGTCTTTGAGGTCGCGTCGTCTTTTCTAAATCTATCTATAATTAGAATCACTTCACTACGTTTGAAATGACGTGGTTAATGTACCGTTTAATTAAATTTCAAATGACGCGAGCCCACAGATCATGACACTTTTGTATCTAAAAAGGGCGCGTAAGTTGAAGAAGTTACATATTATTAGCACTGATGAAGATCCGGGCTTACGGATCGAAAGCTTTGCAGTAATAAATAGAAGTGGTGTTTCCACAAACAGAACTATTATATGTTTTATCGCCATGCAAACGTACAAAAAACTTAGTAAGTAGCCAGTTGGCAACTTAAAATTATCCCCATAATAAAAGCGCGCGCGACACTGACGTTTGTAAAAAACGGTCCATGATTTAATGCCATTTTTTCAGGAACTGAATTTATTAGCTTGGTTTATGGCGATTACATGCATGTTTGACATTTAACTGGTTGCGCTGAACTGATATACACCTCAAATTTCAATTTCGAGTTATGGTACCTAAGACAATATGAAAATTCATGCACGTATTTTACTCTATATTTTTGGTTGCATCGTACCTCTTCCATGTAAGCTTCTATTGCAGCTTTCAAACTCGTTCTACGTTGCTTTAGTTTAATTTCCAGCTCATCTCTGCTTGCAAAGTCGCAGTAAGTTTTATTTACTCCACCAGTAACTGTTCTGTTGTAGAAATATTTTCCTGTGCTCTCTTCCTTCACGAGATTTTGGGAATTTTTCTCGCATCCCCAGTTGATAGCATCATCAGGAAATAGGTCAGCCGCGCGGAAGTCAACTAGGTCCGTGATTGATCCCATTAGAAACTTAAATGCTTTCGGGTAGCTGTCAATACTATCAAGCCATTCCTAAACAATATCATAAAAAAGAAGATAAAGGCAGCTGCTTTCCACTAGCAACTGCCGTGATAAACCTGATCGAATAACGCACAACGTTAGTATAAATTTTACATATCGAATGAACTTTCGCGCGTTCTGATTGGCTAGTTGACTAGTAATCTGCAGGAGGCATTATTTACCAGCAGACTAGTAAATAATGCTTTTCAAAAAGAATGATTCGGCAAAATCAGTTTTAAAATCGACAAAATATTTAAAAAATCGTCCCCAGAAAACGACAGATGCACAAAATGTTGTATTTAACTTGAAAGGTAGGATTCCTTTATTATTTTACCGCGTGAAACATATTCACGAACCATTTAAAACTTATTTAATAAAACTTCAAAACATTCACTTCAAACAAATAGCAAAAACTATCCCAACTGCTGGAAAACCTTGCCGCGATATTCTTTTAAAACCATTTTCCTTTGTATCCTATACTAGACATCTCAATTTGTATACTATTCAAAGTCGGGTGAAAGTCATTCTATCATTGTGTTTATATTCTATGTAATTGTAGACAAACAACTTTGTAATAAAGCAATAAAGTGACAGGAAGCCATTTTGAAAGAGTGAGTGAACAAGAAACACTGCAACACCAAAACAGTAACCATAAACTGGCCAAAAACTGTCTTATTTCTGTCTTATTTCTGAATTAGTTAAACTGATATTTGTATATTTTGTTTTATTCATTAAAAATTTAAGCTAAAACAATAATTATTCGGCTTAGGCCTCTGTGATTCTAAAACAATTATTCGCCTCGACTTCGTCTCGGTGAAAATTCACTGGTAATCACTTCTCCTTCGGCGAATAATTGTTAAAATTTATCGCACCAATTAACAACCACTGTTATCAGGCTCGTAACTAGGATTACTATAACTAGGATTTTAGATTTACCGACGCGAGTGTCGACGGCTCTAAAACCTCTTAGAAGGGCTGGAATGATGCTTCCGTAGCAAATTTTTGATTTTCTAAAGCGCAGAAACACCATTTAATGTTTTTATTCCGTGAACAGTCAGCAGTTTTAACAAAATATCAGTGATAAACACTGACACGGTGATCAAGTCCACAATAAAAAGGCGTTTCTTTAGAGTCTTATAGGACTCTAACCAGTACTCATCAAATTGAATAAACGCCAACAGGACCTGATTTCTTTCTTTCTTTGTCTTTTTTAAACTAAAATTCTTACCGAAACAACTGACTCAGTTGACTCATAGCCAGTTGTGGATGTAACAAGGGTAATCAGTTAGGTAGTAGTATAAAGTTAGCTAGCATGCAACAGCAACAACGACAACGCATTGAGGGAAGACTCTTGTAGCAAATGGTCACGTGACATGCTAAAATGGATTTGAATTTTGGATTTGGATTTATTAAAAAGTATATAAAATCATACCGAAAGAGTAATTACTTTATATTTGCAAGTTAAGAAATTTAATTTGGTCATAACCTGGAAAAACTGTTTTTAAAACGTTTCGTGTTACATTTTTATAAAGTAAGATACTGTAGCTTCTATTTCGAAGACATAGTCAATTCTCATCCAGCCGTGAGTTATGGACAAGATGAGACAACTTTGGTATGGTTCTAGTGTCCTTAAAAATGTGTCAAGTTGTTGGCGGTTGACTACATAGACTGTTGCATCCACAATCCAGCATGGACATAAATTATTGACAAAAGCGTAAAAAATAAGAACATTCATTGAATCTCACCTCCCTTCCCCTAATATCAATGTTGATGGGTGTATTCGAGGACATAAATTATTGACAAAAGGGTAAAAATAAGAAAATTCATTGAATCTCACCTCCCTTCCCCTAATATCAATGTTGATGGGTGTATTCGAGGTGTATTGGGGCAAACATGTCTCAAAATTAAGTAATGACTGATTTTGCCAATTTTATTTGTCCAGGATAAATTGCAGTAATGTGTAGTGCTTGACTATAGTGTAAATGAGGATAAATTATTCTAAAACATCTTTTTGGAAGCCACTCAAGTGAGTTAGTCATGGAGAACAGTCGTGTCAATTTGAGCTCCGCAAATTCAAGCCAAATCTTGGAAAATTTATTGTTGGATTTTATGAGTGAAAGTGTTAAGATACCTACAAATAGTGTGGAAAGTAAAGTACTAATTCATCTCTTGTTTTTATTGACGAAAGCGGTTACTGCTGGAAAGGCAATTTAGCTCAATTAAAGAATTTCGTACAAAATGACTTAAAGTTGATCGGCAAATGGTCATCGCCTGGCGGTGAAACGAAGTTATTTAAGAGCACCGAGATTATCCTTAAATGGACTGGTCAAACTCGAAAGCAGCTGATAATTGAAAAAGACAGCGAAGTAAATCTCGTGCCGAACACGCTAAAACGTTTATGCTTAGATACAGCAGCGGCGTGTAAAGAATCGATTGATGACAAAGCTAAGCAATCGGTAGCGGCTGCCTCTGAATTTTCAACTATATGGGCGGCAATAAATGGGATTCAAGACGTGGTGACGGCCGAATTGGAAGAAGTAAAATTAGCCCACGACAACAAACTTATAAGAATAGAAGCTGAGGTATGTAAAGTACGATCTAATTACGAAAGGAACATTGAAAATTTGAATAATAAATGTCATGAATTATTGCTTTAAACTTAAATGTAAGAAGGGGCTCGAAGATAAAGTAAATAAACTTGATGTTTTGGTTGACAATCTTAAAGCCGATATACAGGATCTACGAAATGAGAATGGGTTCTTCAAATTGAAGCCACGGTTGTTTAAAAACTCCACGCCTAAAGTACAACAAAACAACACTGGGAACAATGACCTAGATTTAATTGGTACAATTAACATTCCTAATGAACAGATAACTATTGTTGATAAACAACCCCAGGATTTAAATAAAAATTTAGAGTTAAACACCTCTCCCTCAGTTAACAATAAGACTTCTCAGGCCGACAAAGGATCGGTGTACAATCCTCAGATAAATTCAGTTATTGAATGTATTGAGGCAAGAAATCAACCTAGAAGCAATCCACCGAGAGGGCCACGTACGAGCAATATTTCCAAACGTAATTCCGCTATTCCCAGACATCCTTTGCCCAAGCACTTGGTACGTTGCCCATTTCTAAGACGGAGAGGCTTTTGTCTAAAGGGTCCCTTGTGTGACTTCCAGCACAAAGATTCTCAATCGCCTAATAATCCAACCAATAATTCGTCGAATAACCCGTTCTATTGTTCGTCAAATAATCGACCAAGAGTGTCCAATAACCTACAGCGATACCCTCATAACTTGGGCTATACATCTTATCCAAATATATCACAACCTATTACTAATCAGTTTCCTTTTCCTGTGAATCCAAGCCATTTCCCCCCGTTTCAACCCCCACAGTATCATCCAATTATTCGACCATATGTATACCCACCCCCTCTGTTGACATCAATATAACCCCTTTACCGCCCCCTGTCGTGTCCCCCTTAGCACCACCTACAATAACGTTTACTAGCATGCCTTTGAGTGTTCTAAATCGTCCTCGAAAAGTGAAAAGCAACATTTCAAATCAAAATCATTGTCTAAATAGAAATAATCTGATACACATTCAAACCTGTCCAAGAAATCAGGATAGTCCCTCGAGAGATACTAAGAATACGGAACGAACTCGATCTGTAAATTTTAATAATTTAATTTATGTCAATTGTACAAGGGAACAGAAGACTTATTTTATGCCTATCAACTTTTGCCTGTTGAACACCAGATCAATAAATAGGAAAGAACTTTCTATTAATGATTATGTGTCTGAGAACGATATTGATATTCTATATTGTGAAATCTGCTGTGTTGGTGTAATGTACTCAGGTGAATAAGATATTTGTATGATGTTACTCTGAGTGTATATCCACACCGGGCAGGCTTGAAAAATATGCCTGGCTACGGCGGGATTTGAACCTACGACCTTTGGAATACTAGCCCAATGCTCTTCCAACTGAGCTACGTGGTCAGGACGGTTCGAGTATGCGATATTTCGGAACTGAGTCTAGTTCCTTCGACATCAGTGTAATCTAATAATCATGAAATCTGCTGTGTTGGTGTAATGTACTCAGGTGAATAAGATGTTTGTGTGATGTTACTCTGAGTGTATATCCACACCGGGCAGGCTTGAAAAATATGCCTGGCCACGGCGGCATTCGAACCTACGACCTTTGGAATACTAGCCCAATGCTCTTCCAACTGAGCTACGCGGTCAAGACGGTTCGAGTATGCGATATTTCGAGTATGCATACTCGAACCGTCCTGACCGCGTAGCTCAGTTAGAAGAGCATTGGGCTAGTATTCCAAAGGTCGTAGGTTCGAATCCCGCCGTGGCCAGGCATATTTTTCAAGCCTGCCTGGTGTGGATATACACTCAGAGTACTGTAACATCACACAAACATCTTATTCACCTGAGTACATTACACCAACACAGCAGATTTCATGATTATTAGATTACACTGATGTCGAAGGAACTAAACTCAGTTCCGAAATATCGCATACTCGAACCGTCTTGACCGCGTAGCTCAGTTGGAAGAGCATTGGGCTAGTATTCCAAAGGTCGTAGGTTCGAATACCGCCGTGGCCAGGCATATTTTTCAAGCCTGCCCGGTGTGGATATACACTCAGAGTAACATCACACAAACATCTTATTCACCTGAGTACATTACACCAACACAGCAGATTTCATGATTATTAGATTACACTGATGTCGAAGGAACTAGACTCAGTTCCGAAATATCGCATACTCGAACCGTCCTGACCGCGTAGCTCTGTTGGAAGAGCATTGGGCAGTTTCTGCGTTGGATGTTGAGCTCTTTACATGGGAAATTGACATCTGCTTCGTGGGCGAGACATGGTTGAACAGTAAGATATTATCAAATTTAGTATGTCCCAATAACTATCTTATTGTAAGAAAAGATCGCGGCGATGGTCGAAATGGAGGAGGTGTTGCTATAATTTGTCGGGAAGATTGGAAATGTAAATCTCTAAACTTTCAAAATAATTTGGAATGCAATCTGGTGTGAAATTGAGACAGCAAATAGCAAATACTATGTCGGCTCTGTGTATCACCCTCCGGACCCCACATATCAGGAAAGCGATCGCGAATTACTAAATCATTTATCAGAGAGTATAGAGCAAATTCTTCAGTGGGAATCAAATGCCAGAATTATAATTGGAGGAGATGTTAATCAACTGAAGGTTAAGGATATTATAAGTCAACATAATATGGAACAAATGGTGAGAAAACCTACAAGAGGTCAGAAAATACTTGACATTTTCCTAACTAATTGTCCACACTTATGGAATCACCCTAGAGTCTTTGATGGCTTAGTAAAATCTGACCATTTGGCTGTCGTGATAACTCCACGGGTAGCTGTAAAACCGGAAAGAAAAACAGTTTATTTTAGAGATGCAAGAGACCATCGGAAGTTTGCTATGGTGAGAGAGTTGGAAGCACAAGACTGGAGCTGTATTGATGACTGTGAAGACGTGAACGAATCAGTTATGTTATTAAATCATATTATCACTTCTGCATTCAACAACAGTTTTCCATTGATTAAGATAAAATTATCCACACGGGATCCCCCATACATGTCTCCTCTGGTAAAACATTTATGTAAAATACGCAATAAAAGTGTGAGGAAAGGAGTTGACGAAGATCTACAAAGAAAGATAAATAAGCTTATCCGAGAAAATATGGTTAGTGAAGTTAAGAAGGAGAATGGGAAATATGCATCTGGTTCGAAGAAATGGTGGGACACAGTTAATAAAATCACCGGTAGGAAGGCAAATCACACCAGTATAAATATTGATCCAAGTGTTATAAATAGTTATTTCCAGACAATAAACACTGATGATAATTATACATATCCTGAACTCGTTGCGTTTGACCGAATAGCGCTGTTATTCTCGAAATTGCAAAAATAAGTTTTTTCACCATTTTGTCATATCTCACTAACTATTGGACCAATCGAGCTGAAACTCGGCGCGTTGTGCTCAGCAGGTTGCGTTTGACCGAATAGCGCTGTTATTCTCGAAATTGCAAAAATAAGTTTTTTCAACATTTTGTCATATCTCACGAACTATTGGACCAATCGAGCTGAAACACAGCGCGTTGTGCTCAGCAGGTTCCGTTTGACCGAATAGCAGTATTTGCTGCAATGTGCAAAAATAAATTTTTTCCAACAATTTGTCATATCTCACGAACTATTGGACCAATCGAGCAGAAACTAAGCGCGTTGTGCTCAGCAGGTTCCGTTTGACCGAATAGCACTATTTGCTGCAATGTGCAAAAATAAATTTTTTCCAACATTTTGTCATATCTCACGAACTATTGCACCAATCGAGCTGAAATTCAGCGCGTTGTGCTCAGCAGGTTGCGTTTGACCGAATAGCGGTGTTATTCTCGAAATTGCAAAAATAAGTTTTTTCAACATTTTGTCATATCTCACGAACTATTGGACCAATCCAGCCTAGTTTCTAGTCGTTCTGCAGGGGCAACGAAAAACAAACCGTCGATCGATAAAACTAGCTTAGGTATGACGTCAGTTAGTTGTGACGTCACCGCACAAGGTGTTGCAGAACGCCTAGCAGATATCAACAATTTCAAGATGGCGGATTCTTTTGATTATAACATTATTTTAAACGAGTTGGGAAATGTGTGTGATAAGGGATTTGATGGGCTCAAAAGTTATTGCCAGGAAATTAATAATGTTATTGGAAAATGCATGTGGAAAGAATACTATGATAAGTTTAAGGTCGATTTTTTCGCGCTCCAATATTTACCGCAGGAGTTTGCAGAATATGTGCCATTAGAGGCGACTGATTATTCGGTTTATTCCGACTGTTTTCGGTCGTTCTCAACGCTAGTCTTTGGCAACGAAGAAAGACATAATGAGTTGCGAGTGCGTTGTGTCGTGGAGATGACCTTATTTAAGGAGTTTTACTTGTCTGAAGAGATTGTACAACGAGTCGTAAAGCAGATTAGCATAGCGGATGGAGAAAGGTCAATGTTGTCAGAACTAGCGATGGACATGGTTTTCCAAAACGAAGTTATTGCGAGTTGTAAGCTGCGATCACAGCCGTCTGATTGGCACATACTTGCACTGGGATCAGTCATTCAGAGAAGCATCATGAGTGTTTATCCTGAAACAACTCCAGAGGTGACTAAAATTTATTTTTTTAGTCGTTTTATATTAATTGAATATACAGTATATACATTATTTTCAAGAATATTGTTACAAAATATTGCTGTGTATGCCATTAGGCAAGTGACACCTAACATAAAATCCAACTGCCATGAATACCACCCTTGGCAAAGTGATACAATATGAGATGACCAGTTTTATAGTTTTAGATAATTTGTAATATCAGCAGTCCTGTTTTGAATGGGAATTACATTAGCATAGACTATTTGAAAACAAGTGGTAAGAATCCAGAAATCCACACATTTATAGCCTCAGTATGTACACTTTATTTACCCATTGACTGGCAATGTGCACAAATGCACCGGCCTTTATGCATGAGTCAATGTAAACCCTGCCCCCCCCCCCCAGGTGGATATTTGACTTTGTTCTAATATTTGCAAATGTTCCACATCCTGGGGAGTGGGGACTATCAAAGGCTCCAAATGTCAAATAATTATGTATGGATTGCAATGAACTACTATAAATTGTATTTGAAAAAAAAGCTTTGTCAGAAGCACACAAAGCAAAGATAATACTCACTAGATGATAAAACACCACTTAAAATGAACAGCTGAAATTGACAACTGGCTCATTACTAATCCATACCCAATCCCCTGGGGACAAATAAATTCTAAAAGCTTCAAATCCCCCACCCTCTTGCGAGTGTATTTGCAATTAAATTATAATATTTTCAAGAGCCATTACGTCCATTACAGTGGAACCCTGTGTATGGCCATCTCGTTAATATGGTCACCTCAATATTTTTTGTCCTATATTCAGATTCGTCATTTGTATCATGGTATTCGTAAGCCAAGAGTATGCAAGGATAATGCACCACCCAAGTTTTTTTTCTGGGCAAAATGTGGTAAAGTTACCTTTCAGGATTTGGTAAAGTTCAAGTCCAGTCACTTTATCCCATTGGTACAAAAGCATTTACTTTCAACTGAATTTCCAGGTATATTATTATTAAAATTTGGTATAGGTACTGTATATAGGCACCTTCTGATACATTTTATATACATTTATTAGATCTAACCAGGAACAGCTGTTTTTTTTTTTTATATATATATATATATATATATATATATATATATATATATATATATATATATATATATATATATATATATATATATATATCACTCCAATCATCAGCATCTCACTCCAATGAATAGTTGATGGGGTTGGTACAGTATATAGAAATGATTGAGTGGAAAATTTTATAATACATTTAGCCATACCTGGCAGTACCCTATATATACATACATGAACTTGTGGTTAGAGCTCAGCAACTGGCCACTGTATCTCGGGCCAGTTGCTTGTCAATATAAAATTTTCCACTCGGCATTTCCATCTACAAAGCCTGTCATTTATTCATTTGACTGAGATGCCAACAAAATATTTAATATTTACCCATACATCTGATACATACTTACCCTGGATTCCAGAGCCTTCGACAGTAAATAATAAATTGAAATGTTGCGAAGGCTCTGGTTCAACGGGGCGATTCTTTGATTAAACCGCGCCAATCACAAAACAGAATTAGTGGTTTTAGTACAGAAACCGCGCCAATCACAAAACAGAATTAGTGGTTTTAGTACAGAATCTGTACTAAAACCACTAATTCTGTTTTGTGATTGGCGCGGTTTAATCAAAGAATCGCCCCGTTGAACCAGAGCCTTTGCGACATTTCAATTTATTATTTACTGTCAAAGGCTCTGGAATCCAGAGTAATACATACTGGGATTCAATGAGATCAGATAAAGACAGACATTATTTTTGCTATGTTTGTGATGTTACTCTGAGTGTATATCTACACCGGGCAAGCTTGAAAAATATGCCTGAACCTACGACCTTTGGAATACTGCCCAATAATGCTCTGCCAACTGAGCTATATATTTTTACTATTACTTATTAAGTACTATTATAATTCTAATACAGCTTCAATAATCATTGCAAAATTGTTTTCTTTATAATACAGCTGATGTTTCTACATATCCCTGTCCTCATCCAGACTGTTATTCCAGTCAGACATGGTATAGAAATGTGAATGCACATCACACTATTAAACATTCAACTCCATGTAATCTTGATGATGCAACTGCATTAAGAAAGAAAATCATGGGTCAGGCAATGATAAAGAAAATCATTCTTAGTTCAACTAATCTAGTAAGTAAGAGCCTCTACTTTATACCATATGCCCTTTCATATTAGACGGCCGGCCAGTCATCCATTTGTACAACTGGATGGCAACTTTATGTTAGAAGCTGGTAACAGGCATTTTCTTATAGTTCAAGCCTTGGTGAACAAGACTATATGTGTTACCACTTCTGATTTTTGCTTTATAGCCAAAAATTTGAGAATTTTTAAATTTTGCCTATTAAATTACTATGATCGGAAAAAATGTAAAATTTCATGTTCTCTTATACGAAAAATAAACTATACCACTAGAAAGAGCGTAAAAAACTATATATAAGACAATTAAGTGAGTTCTACGTTTTTCCAATCCTATTTCGAGTTTTTAATGCTAAAAAATGCAGAAATGACCAAATTAATGCTAATTAGTACCCATTTTGCCAACTTTAACCATCTTTAATTCAAAATCGGCTTGAAAATCGCACTAGTCGCTTAATTATCTTATATATAGTTTTTTGCGATCTTTCTAGTGGTATAGTTTATTTTTTGTATAAGAGAACATGAAATTTTACATTTTTTGCCATCATAGTAATTTAATAGGCAAAATTTTAAAATTCTCAATTTTTTGGCTATAAAGCAAAAATCAGAAGTGGTAACACACACAGTCTTATTCACCAAGGCTTGAACTATAAGAAAATGCCTGTTACCAGCTTCTAACATAAAGTTGCCATCAAACTCTCTTTAGAGGCACTTTTTGCCACCTTGGCCGGCCAACTATATACAGTATTCCTCCTTTAACTGTGTACACTGGCACTGCAGAATATAGACATGTGGAAATTTTGCAATGTTCAGTTAGGCGAGACTTTTTTTATTTATTGGTTTACGGATTTGAACAGGTCTGTATGTCGGAAAAAAATTTTTAAAAAACATTTTTCAAGAATCAAGATTGTCACAACGATAATATGAGCCAGCTGTACTTAGAGTCATGACTCTAAGTACAGCTGGCTCATATTATCGTTGTGACAATCTTCATTCTTAAAGGCCATTGGCAACCAAAATTTTTATAGCTTCATCTGAAAGAGCATGAAAAAATAAGCCGGTTGGCCGTTTAATGCTCTATTCTATCTCATCTAGTTCCGAAGTTATACGCAAAATGTGCAAAATATAAATTGCTGATTCAGCACAACGTGTGACGTCATTAGTTGGGTAGTAAACTAAAGCATTATTGAATAGTAAACTAAAGCATAGCTAAGTTATTATTGGCTCAAATCAAATGAAATTTTGCATACAGATAGTACATGATGAGACGCATGGGAAAATACTTCTAATTTTGTTGTCAAGGCAACACAGTCGTTCCCAGGCCCCTTACACTGATTTTGAATAACTAGTTGCATTTATCTATGTGTATGTCATTTTCGAATTATTATCATGCAAGTAAACTTTTGGCATGCATAGGTATGGTACACATACTTCTGATATTATTTTAACCTTATCAGAAACATGAATAAAGCTGTTTTATAAAATTGGCGCAAGGGGCCTGGGAACGACATTGTTACCTTGGCAACAAAATTAGAAGCGTTTTTCAATGCGTCTCATCATGTACAATCAGTATGCAAAATTTCATTTGATTGGGGCTCATAATAACTGAGCTATGCTTCAGTTTACTATTCAATAAACATACTTACCCAACTAATGACGTCACACGTTGTGCTGAATCAGCAATTTATATTTTGCACATTTTTGCATATAACTTCAGAACTAGATGAGGTGGAATGGAGCATTAAACGGCCAACCGGCTTATTTTTTCATGCTCTTTCAGATGAAGCAATAAAAATGTTGGTAAAAATCGTAAAATTGTTGACATCCAATTTTTTTATTTTATTTTTCACTTTCTGTATATTTATGGTCGGCGGATCCGTAAACCAATTAGTAAAAAAGTCTTGCCTTAATATTTTATAAACTCTAATGTAAGCAATCGAAATCATGCAATAAAAATTTTGAATAAATTATTTTGTGTTGAATTATTGTGCTAGATAGTTTTTTCTTTTATTACACAGATTGGGGGAGAAATATTCTCTGTTGATTGTTTTGGCACCAACAAGTTTGTGATGAAAGGATTATCTTCTAAAGAAGTTGCCTCGAAAACAGCACATGTTTTATTTGTTATGGATTTGCTACCGTCATTTGGAAAATCTACCTATCCTACGATTATCATACGTTCTTTGGATACAAGAAAAACAACTATTTACAATGCATGGAAAGCAACTATGAGCACCAAAACATTACCCCAAATTGAATGTGTACAGTCCTTTTTCGATGGTGATTTCCAAGTCCAACAACCACCCCAACCTCCACCAACTTCCCATGTAGCAAACCTAACATTGGATGACTGCATCTGTACTGATGATGATACTGGCAATGTAACACATGTAACTAATCAGCAGACAAATATTGAGAACTTGCTTCATGCTCTCAAAAGAATTTGGGGGTACGAGTCTTTCAAACCTGAGCAATACGAAGCTATACAGGCGATATTACAATGTCAGGATGTGTTTGTCCAAATGCCAACGGGTGCAGGAAAGTCCCTTATATTCCAAATTATTGCTGCAGTCTCGTCAGGACTTGTTGTTTGTGTATCACCTCTTATTTCACTCATAAAGGATCAAACACAAGCTTGTAATGAAAAGAACATTGGTGCCTGCTTTTTGTATGGGACAATGGACTCTTCCCAAAAGGAATCAATTTATTACTCTCTTCGACAACCAGTTTGTCCGTTTAAAATTCTGTATGTGACACCAGAATTTATAACACAGGATAATACTGTACTTAACATACTTAACAGTCTGTACTCGAAAGAAAAACTTAGAATGTTTGCAATTGATGAAGCTCATTGCGTCAGTCAATGGGGACATGATTTTAGAGGTGCGTATTTAAATCTCGATGTTCTACGCAAGAATTTCAAAAATGTACCAATACTTCTTCTTACCGCATCAGCAACTAAGCAGACAAGAGATGACTGTATGTCTGTACTCGGTCTCAATAACCCAAAAATAATCCTATCCACTGTATGTAGACCCAACCTCGTCTATGAAGTGCATCAAAAATCCTCAAAGTCTGTTGAACATATTGCTGACATTGTTAAGCCTTTGGATTGCTCATTAGTTTTTTGTTCCACAATACGAGAATGCGAAGATATTTGTCCAAAACTTGAGGGAAGAGGGGTAAAGTGTAAAATGTATCATGGACAACTGGAGGACAATTTGCGCAGTCAAAGACAGGAAATGTGGAGTAATGGCTCATTGCAATGCCTAGTTTGCACTTCCTCTTTTGGTCTTGGAGTGAACAAGCCAAATGTGAAGGCAGTGATACATTATTCACTTCCTGGCACATTAGAGGCATACGTCCAAGAAGCTGGAAGAGGTGGTAGAGATGGATCGATTGCTCGCTGTATACTATTTTTCACACCGCAAAACCAAATTTTCCATTTAAAGAACATATTTTCCACAAGAAAAACTGACAGCAAAGTTGCAGATAAAAAATTGTCATCTTTTCTTCAAATGCTCTATTGGTGTTTTCAAAATGTCGAGTGTAGAAAAGTGTTGATTCTGAAGCACTTTGGAGAACCAACTCCAAGTAATTGCGGTACGTGTGACATTTGCAGAAGTACTGAACCAGTAACAGAACACGACATTACAGAATTTTCAAAGAAGGCAATTTTATGTATACAAAGAGTCGCGAGTACCCCTGACAAGAAAAACTTTACACTTAATTATATTTCAAAGATTCTTACTGGGAAGAAGGTCAAACATGATCATGACAAATATCCTGAATATCGTTGCATTACTGGGTCTACTGAATTTGGAGAATACCTTCTACGACTATTGGTATGCAAAGAAGTTCTTGTGGAGCAACCTCCTCCTGAAGCAGCAAGAAATCAAAACACTGTATATCTTACTGTTGGTGCGAAGTACTTACAGGTACTAAGTGGCCAATTGGCTATAAAATGTATAATAAAGAGCAAAAATTGTTAACACTCATATACTGTAATTCTTATTGGATGGAAACCCATTATGCTCATTAAGGTAACTGTACACTTTTCAACATGAATATGGGTGTATCCAGCTTTAAGTTAATATCAAAATTTCGCCAATTATGTGACAACGAAGCAGGGTATTGATCTTGAAAAAAAAGCATTTATTGTTCAACATAGTCCATGTTTGGAAACAACCGTAGCAACAGTACTTTGAAGTTCTCTCGTATGTATTTTTCCCCTTTGCTTAGTACATCTAGAAACTTGTTTTCAACAATGCCAATGGAAGCTGATGATACATCAACGGACTTACTATTGTGCGCATACTTATTCACATTTCTTCTTTCAAGATTGACGAACCATTTTTCTTTCATGGCAAACCAACAAATCTTCAATCTGTCTGGTAGTGAATCTGGTTTGCTTCTTGCCGTAGCTTTATTCAACTCAAATCCCTTCATATATATACGTCTCACATGCTTGAATAGTTCTAGATTCATGTTAATTTTTTGTAGCATACTTAACGTTGTATGTTTCTTGGCATATTCTTTCATTGGCTTGACAACCATTGATTCAACATACTCATCTATTGCCATATTGTGATGTTTTCTTCCTTTAACGGATATTGAGCAGTTTGATCTGAACATCTCGCGTACAGCAAGAGGCCATGTGGTCGTGAAGTGAACAATGTGGACAAACGCCTCATCTCTATAGTTCTTTTTGTTCAATGGTGGAAATAAGCACAATAATTTCATCCAACAAGCCTCTCTAGTCTTACCATTTCCATGACGTATAGATTCTTGATATATCTGTAAGAGCAAACCGTACTCGGTAACAAATGAAGAAAAAAATTCAAATGTTTTGTCCCTGGAACTTTGATCAAATATCCACTCTTTAAAGCGCGCCAGTATAAGTATGTTTGCATAACCATTTTCCGACTCATCTTTGTCTACATTTTCTCTGTCCGGAAAAAAAATTGACTGTTCAAATTGTTTTACCATTGCTAGACCAACTCCCCAATAGAAATCAACAAGAGCTTCATCGTTTCTTTCATAATTTTCCTCTTTAAACATGTTCTCAAACGAATTTGGTGTAACTTTCAAGCGTCCGAGTACTTGACGAGAAGTGTAATAAAACCCTGCTGTTCCAAAGATTTTTGCCAAGCACTCCATTACATACGCAACTGCATGGAAATCTCCAGGTGTTTCTTCAAAAATATCAAATTCATCTGGCGAACGATTCTTTAAGCCCCGTGTTGTTACTGTTGTTTTACATCCCCAACTGTGATAATTTTGTCCCGAACATTTGATGAAGTTTTTGACTCATCTGAGTCTGACAAAGAAGCTTCAGTTTGTCCTAAACATGACGATTCGACTGTCTCATAATCATTCTCAACTAGTCCACAAGCATGCTCCTCGGTATTCAAGAATTCCATAGCATGAGCAAGACTCTGCATTTCGTGTTGCTGGTATACATTCGTTAGAATTTCCATTAATTCACTATGTTGAAGCTTTTCACAGATTTCCATAGGGGTTGGAAGATGACCAGGAAATAAACCCCATACTCTAGCCTCGTACTTCAAAAGTAGTTTTGTCATCTCCACATTCTTCTGCATTAGAGCAATCATCAAAGGTGTGACACCACACCCTTCACCAGCATTGACATGTGCCCCGCATATGAGAAGACTTTCAACGCATTTAATGTTTCCTTTCTCGACAAATACGTGCAGAGCTGAACGGTTGTACTCGTCGTTTAAGGAAGACCACATTCCACTGTGGCACTTAATGAATGAAACAGATTGTTCTAGTGGCATATCTGCTACTCCTTTTTCTAAAAATTCAACAACTTTTTTCATGTCCCTCTCTTGTTGTCTCACCATTTGCCTATACTTTGTGATATAATCATTATACGGAAGGACACAAGGGTCATCCACCACAACCTTTTCGGATTCAAACGTATCTTTAAGATTAGAAAGTTCAGATTCATGGACTTCTAGTTCCTTATACATTTTGTACCGTTCGCGTGCATTGCTAAGGTCATAATCTTTCTTTCGGTTGTCGAATGCTATATACTGATCTCTTCTTTGAATATTTAAGTTTAAATCTTCAGAATATTGACGATAGACAAGTGCTTCTCCGCAAGTGTAAGCTTCATCAGCAAGGGAAATTGGCAGAATGAAAATATTTTTCATTTCATACGAGGTTTCATATTCCTCCGTCACGTTTGGAACTGCAATATTGCATTTTTGTCCTTTCTCATTGTTCCCAACATATTCATTGTCCTTAAGAAATGTTGTACATTCGTGCTCGCTTTTTTCCCCAAAGTCTGTTGGGACATGCGTTCGGTTAATACCAAAATCAAGCAATTCAATAAGCATCCTGTCTGCTGCATCATCATACAAACATTTGACATCCTTATTTTCCTTTGCACCTAAATGTATCAAACAAAATAAACCCAGAATTTAAATCTAAAATATATGTAGAAATATGAACTTAGGCCTGTTTCAAACGTTGCACTTCTCATGTGCCGAACGCATTAGAATTTAGAAAAAATAGATAATGAGGCATTTCAGCTGATTATCTATTGTTTTTAATGCATTCGGCACATGAGGAGCGCGACGTTTGAAATAGGCCTTAAATACACATGTTTTTGGCAATTGTGCAATTAAGGGAATATTCTGTTGAGATAACAATTTTCACTATCATTTCCGGCGAAAGAAAATCTTTATCTCCACAGAATGCTTGAAATCCTGATTAAGCTGATTGGAAATATGACCTAAGGTATGATATTTTGTGACATCTGCCGTATCCCTTCCTATGTATTTTTTTACCTAAAAGAAGATGATCAGCTGTCAGATTTTCAAGACTTCCTTGGGGCTGTGTTCCCGTTCCTGCGTCTTTCCATAGTTTCTCGCATTCAGATAGATTGGGTTTCATTACTGCTCTCACAGTGAAATTCCACATAACGGGCACCATGCTTTGCTTAATTCTCACGTAACGCGATTTTCCCTTGTGGATATTAATGTTATCAAACATTAAGATAACAGGCCATGTCTTGGGAAAGCGTGAAGTAACAATGTCTTTGTATGCATCCAGTCTTTTCGTAAGGTATGCACGACTACAAAATATGAATTTGCACCCATTTCAATATAATACAGTATATTGTTAATACGATATTCCATCTGATTCATGAAGTTGGTTATAAATCATCATCTTCTGTTAAAACTCAGAACCACAACATTCAGTTATACCTCTAGTATCCCTAACATGTCAGCAGGGACGTAGCGACCGGGGGGGTGTAAACCAACCCCAACTGTGAAACTCAGGTAAAAATCAGGTAAAATTCAAGTTAAAATTTTGAGATTTTCAGGTAGAATTTGCGGAATAAAGTTGTTATTTTTGTGAAATGATAACCATTTTTGTAAAATACAGTCAATTTAGATCCAATTCGTTTGCGAATTTGCTTTAGAAAACTCCAGAAATGCAGTCAAGGAGCTTCAAAAATGTACATCTTCAGATGCTTCGCTACGTTCCTGAACATGTGTATGTGTCAGACATTAAAAATATAAACAGCAATCTTTTTAGGAAGTACGACTACAGTACCTGAAAAATATGAGCAGAACTTCAACGTTTTCAGCGAAGGCCCTACATCGGGAAGTGAATAGCGACCAATGAAGGTCTAAAGCCAGTTTTCCACTTCAACCGTACCGTACCGAAACGTACTGGTGAGCATGCGCAGATTGAAAAGAGTTTTATAAATCAACGTACTTCCGGGTATATTCGCGTATCAAAATGAAAACTTCGTCGCAAGTCAACTTTTTGGCGTACTACGGAAGTATTAACTAATCAACATTCACTAAATTTTGAAATTTAAAAACGTTTTTGATACGTTTCGGTACGGTACGCTTGAAGTGGAAAACTGGCTAAGGGCCTGATTCCACGAGGCGGAATTTTTCGACCGAAACGAAATTTCTCTTTGTCTTTTTACAATTAGTTCTGCTTGAAGGCCTGATTCCACGAGGCGGAAGTTTTCGACCGAAACGAAATTTCTCTTTGTCTTTTTACAATTAGTTCTGCTCGAGAGCTCTGAAACAAAGAAAAATTTCGATTCGGTCGAAAAATTTCGCCTAGTGGAAAACCGCCTTGAGAGTTCATGAAACAAAGAAAAATTTCGATTCGGTCGAAAAATTTCGCCTAGTGGAAAACCGCCTTAAGGGCCTTATCTCGAAATGTCGAAGTTCTGCTTATATTAATTTTCCAGGTTGCTGTTTGTTCCAGCGAACTCTAGATCTATTGGTTTGTTATCATCGCTACCTGCATGCGTAAAATATGCTGAGCCCGCTGTTTAACAGGACTTAACAATGTTTTGCTGCCCACGTTGTTCACACTTGTCAACAATTTTGAACAATATTGAGCCTGAATGGGGTGTAACAATATTGTTCAATATTGTTGACAACTGTGAACAATGTGCGCAGCAAAACATTGTTCAATCTTGTTTTTATCAATATTTTAGCCATGCATGCATGTACGCTAGCACAGACCATTCGATATTAAAAATATACACTCTTAAAAAATATCCTTCAAGCAAGCCAGGGGCCCATGCAGGGCGAAATAAAAAATCCAGCACAGCCTCGAGCTTAAAAAATTCCTACACAAACAAAATGGACCAATATTTCCTTGCTGCATGTAATATGTATATATGCATTTAACTTTAAAATTGTTCAAAAATCATGAAGATTTGCATGAATTTTTTCTGGGGGGTTTGTTGTGCACAATGTTTTCCCCAGGTTAAGGCTGTGCTCGAATTTTTTTTGTGTGTTTGCTCCACCCCTCCACTCTCAAACATTTAATGGTCAGTCACAGAGTCACTTACTAAAAGTCGTAGCTCTTGCATAACCCAAGTGCATGTATTGCATCGAGTACAGCTCTTCCACAGCCATAACTTATTAGGAGCAAACCAAACATCAACCCAAATTCATCCGTTGTTCTTTGTGAACGGATCTCCCCAAGAGCATTAATAATGTGCAACGCAGATTTAAATTTGAATGCATCAGTTTTCTTTCCAGTATTTGTTCCTGACCGTTTTCCAATACATAATAACTTTACAATTTGAGTAAACAAGGGGCACTGTTCTTCTACTTTGTCTGCTACGTGTTGAAAGAACAACTCATTTACAATAAGACTTAAATCTTCAGTTTCAGTAATATTTTTCAGACCAAGGTCATGCAAGTCTTCAACAATCTTTATTTCCATACTAAGTTGCTGCTTTTGAATTTTTGTTAGCTGCATATCGGTAGTATTGGCTGTTAAACTTGAAATGTTCTTTAATGCAGAACAAATTATATTTGACCTTTCTTGGTCACATGATTCAAGTTTGTGTAGAGCATCCTGCATCTGATTAACTTGATCTTTTGATTTCGATAGTTCACTCCTCAAAGTAATATTTTCATCAGTAATTTGTGTTACTGTAGATCTGATATATTCTTCAAGATCCTTACGCAGTGCATCATTGGTTATAGAATGGGATTCCAGAATCCCCTCAATACTAAAAACGTCACTTTCAATTTGCACACTTTCCCTGATTCTTTCAATTTGCTTTACATTTGAATATATAATGCTTTGAGAGAATTAAGGCATAATAAACAAATAAAAATACACACTTAAAGTATGGATGTTCAACATCCATATTGAATAAGAAATTGTGAAGATATACTAAAATTCATTTCTAAAAGCCGATGATATTTTTAAAGGATACACTTTTTTCCTTGTGTCTTTTCCATCATATTGATTTCCAAACATTTTTCGAGAAGTCTTATATGCACGACCTCCAAACAAGGCACCAACAGCTCTGTGCAAATCGACATTACGAATTTCTATTCCCATGTCACTTCCTAAAATATGTTTCATTTCTTCCACACTAGTGAAACATCCCTCTTCATATATAAAATTACTCTCCAATGACTTGTATATATCTGTCAACAAGGACATTTAATAATCATATCAAGACCTGCAAATGTCTAATAAAACAATGTTCAATTCAAAACAACATTGCTATACTGCTACAAATATCTATCACAGCTGGTATTTAAACTATGTCCAGACTACACACTAATTTTTCCAGACGTCAGATCAACTTCCGTTCAAATGGAAGAATTGAATGATATACTTTTGCCTTTTGGTTGCAGTAAGTATACCTAATTATCAATTTGCAAAGCTTTGCAACAAAGTGAAAGACTCTGTCCTTGAAGAGCAGGGGTGTCGGAAGTAGGGGGGGGGGCACTTTTAATTGGGGAGGGAGGCCCAAATGTCTTGCCCCCCCCACTTTTTAACAATTATAGTAAATAATAAAGCACAAAGTTAATTGATATTATTTCAGTTATGCATGTAGACAAAACAATCTGAGATATTTTATGACATTTTGTTACATTTAGAATCTGTACATCCTTCTAAAGTGCAGGAAATGGCATTTCAGATACTCTAGTTTCAAAATGTTTCCAAGGGGCACAGTGGTGTAACTTTACTTTTTTGACCACTTGCCCTCAGGGCAAGTTGGACATGAAAATTAGTTGCCCTGAATAAAATTCACTTGCCATCAGACCAGGGATGGATCCAGCATGATCCGGTAGGGGGAGTGCTCTGCCAGCTCTGGTGCCAAGTTATGTCGGTCATGTGTGCCGCCTGCCCATCAACTTGCTTCACTACTGCAAAGTCTTGCTTGACTACAGTATTTGAATTGTAATTGTTGTTCACAGTTCGCTTATCATCATGTTATTACTCAAATTACTGTATCTCACGTTGTCGCTAATAATTTTTTGCTTTATCATGAAAAATAGCACCCCCCCCTGCACCCATCTGGCCAGGGCTAGGGGGGTGCACATCCCACCCAGTAAATTCATCCCTGCATCAGACAATGGCCACTGGGGTACCTAGGTAGTGGGTATAAATTAAGGGGACAACATGTCGACCTGTTCTCCCACTGCTCTATATGGCAATGTTATACTGCCTCATGATCAGATCCAGCTTTGGCCCACAAAAAAACAAAATTTGAATCAAGTACATGCACTATAAAACATAACAATGAAAACATAAACTTAAAGATGCCTGGAGCTTTTTGTGGCAAGGCAACTTGCCTAATCGGGCAATCAAGATAAAACGTTTACTTGCCCGCCATGATATTCAGTACTTGCCTCGGGCAAGTGTTAAGTTACACCTCTGGGGCATGCCCCTGGACCCCCCTTAAAACATCACCCACCTTTGGCAGGTGCTAAGTGTGCCCCCCACTTTTAGAGCCACTTTGACACCTCTGTAAAATCATCTGGTGTTAGACAGAGTAAAAGATTAAAGACAGGTGCACTTGGGCACATTGCCAGTCAATGGGTTAATGACAGCAAATATCATTTCCTTTGTAGGGATGCAAGCTTGTCTGCATGTTTCATTCTTTCCTGACAAGAATTAATATTGATTATGAAAATATGCAGGAATATTTTGGCACATGAAGAAGTATGAGGGCTAACACAATACCATATTAATTAACCCTACGAACAAGCTAGGACCAAGATTGTTTATTTTAAAAATTGATTGTACCTTGATCGAAGTTTTTCGCTTTTTTTGTTGGAGGTTTTTTGGCACTGGGACTTGTCGGAAAGCATTGGCTCCTTTTCCCATCTTCAACAACACAATTAAACTCATCTTCAACAGCACAATTAAGCTCGTCTATAAATTATACAAAGTAAAATACATGGCCTGCACTTATATAATAAATATACAAAAAGTATACGAACATTATGTGAGTTATTAAATTAATAATGTAACACAAGTAAATAAACTCGCAAATCCCTTCATATATAATTTATAAACACTATCAATTTGACAGCAAGACAACAACAAATGCTGCATGAACAGACAAGGAAATTATATAGCAACGTATGTTTTATAGTACGGCGAACATAAACATTCCTCGTTCCTATTTACATAATTATGTAAATGACTTAGCATACAAATACAATTTACATAACACGAAATATTTAAATAGTAAGTCTCACAGCGAGGGGTATACATCACTCATCAGATGGGAGATTAAAATATTATTCCATAGTCAAAACAAATATATGCAAATAATAAAACGAAGTATAATATTAATAGCAAAACATTAATAAAAGTACTTACCAGGTTTTCCTGCCATACAGCTACGCCAAAAATTTACAAAATGATTTAATATATGAATGATTGTTCTTTTGTTCAATGCTTCCTTGATTGTTGCTATCATTGAATTCACTGCGCGCCCTCACTCCTTATCCTGAGGCCTGGTGACCAGGGACCATTTTTTAAATTTCAGGGACCTTTTGTCGAATTCTGCTAGGCTCTCTCCCGTGCTGTCTTTCCCCACAGCTACCCCTCTCCCACCACAATTACCCCTTCGTACCCCTATAAACCAAGCATAGCAAGCGCGCGAGAGAGCCTATGGCTAGGCTGATGTTCTACTATGTTCAAGGGCAATTTCCCCTTTTGATTGAGTAAAAAAAAAATCTGTACAGGCACCCAAAAGTACTATTGTGAGATTGAACGACACCGCTTGAAATCAAATTCATTCGGAAACACACTTCCTTTTTTTAATTTTTAATAATAAAGTAAAAAATTACATTAAATATACATGAATGTAACACAAATAGTAAGGAAAATTTTATTAAAAAATGAAATGTATGTCATACAATGAGCTGTAATCATAATGGGAAAATATGATACAAATTTCATTTGTTTGACAAATTTGATGTTGGACATGTTTCAGTCCACCCACAATACCAAATGCAGAAATACTCATGACCTCTTACCAGTGTAATCCCTACTATGCCATACTGCAAAACAATCATGCTCACCAGCAACATGCATGTGCCTATTGCACTAAGGGGCAGTACAATAAGTAGAAACCTTCCTCTCCCCTCGACCTTCCACGTAACAAACAACGCAATTCCTTCTTACACCATTTGCTGCCGTTTTAGGTAGATGGGCAGTACAAAACTGATCAGGGGGAGGAACAGCCTGCACTCGCTCATTCACAGGAGGTCTATCATACTCTGCTAACCCACAAAGCTGTCTAACCAGCTCTTCCCTATAATCAACTATAGTATATGTGGACTTGCGATGCAATGCCGGATTACCCGGGTCACTGTTACGATGGCTTTGAAATAGAAGGAAACTGTTAACAGTTGCCATATCTATTAAGTGGAAGAATAATGTTTTCCACCATCGATAACACTTACGATTTACATTATGACATGCAAGCATTTGGTCTGACCTATCTACTGCGTTCATGTACTGGTTATATCTATGAAATGCATAGGGCTGGCTTACAATCACCTTTTCAAACACTCCTTTCGTTTTCGTCCTTCTCTCCACATCCGTTTTATCATTCGCGTAATCAATTGATGTAATCAAGGAAACAGGCCTGTTATCAACCCATTGCAGGGTTAACACATAGGATTCCCTTGCCCATCGCATGCTTCCTCGCTCCAACTTCCTCGCCCACACCTTCACATCCTTCATGGATTCGGGGAAACCATCCCTGTTAGTTTTACATGTGCCTGATGATGGGGTCCCATTCATGAACAAATCTTGGACTAACTTAGGGGATGAAAAAAAATTATTAAAAAATACATAATACCCACACGTTTACGGGAAAGTATTTTCCTTGCCTAGAGACCGTGGTAAAGGGTCTTTGTGCTCCAATACTTTTCAACTGCTGTGTCTACACGTACCAGACCGAAATAAATCAAAATAGCAATTAAACGATTTATTTCATCTTCAGTAGTTGTTTTCCAGGCCCCCCTTGTTGTGGGCAACAACTGATTTTATCATCTCGGTGGTGAAGAAGAGACGAAAAAATTCTAATTCAGTTGTCATTCCTCCCCGCAAGACATGCCTGTCAAAATGAATTCCTGGCGGACGGCTTGGTTGAAAGGGAGGGCATTCCTAATGTCCGCATCATCATAAGATTTACTACTACTGTTGGCCCCGGTATCCCTAGCCCTTCCAACCCTGGCCCTACCACACCTAGCCCTACCACCCCTAGCCCTACCGCCCCTGGCCCTACTGCACCTTCCTCTATTGCCCCTTCCCCTATTGCCAGAAGTACCATTAGGGGAGTCAGCCCGTCTCCTAATTGGGGATCGGCCCCTACTACCACTACCCTCCCCTAAATCACCATCCTCCTCCCAATCTGGATCCTCGTCATCTGCTTCAAAATCATCATCTTCTTCATCAGCAGGTTCTTCATCACTATAAAAAAATAAAATACTATAAACATGGTATTATTTTACTTCATATAAACAAAAATGCATAAATTAATTTTTTAAATGCCCACTTATGACACGTGTGCAACATGGACGCTCACACATTTTGATATCGGTTCAAACCTTTGATTTTTGTCGCAATATAAATGACAGAACTATCATATAAATGCCTTATTACATCGATTATTTGTATATTTATTATATTTCGTATCAGATCTTAGACTAGAGACAAAATTCTTATGGAAAATATGCGTCAAAGTTCACGTTGCGTCGAATGTAAATTTAATCCTTCGGCCATGACATGAAAACATCTGTTTGCTAAAAACATGAAAATACTTGCCTTCGGTCGCTATCTGACATCACCAAACGTCTGTCCAAGTCTTCTTCTTCATCTGATGATATTCCACTAGCGTCCATAGCAAAAGTTTCGTTGCTGATCGCTTCTATCACGGCGTCAATCGTGAAAGCCATCTTAGCGTATTAGACAATATCATAGACGGCAGCGAGCCGTTGGTGCGCGCATCACTTATAATCTAAAAAATGCCGTATAAGGCACGGCTTTTGCCCTAAACCAATGAAATTCACAATACAGGGGGATTACATCATGGGGAATCGATTGCCGAGGGTTTTTAGACCGTGGGGTGAAAAGAACCCGGCGAATTGAGGCTCCGAAGATTGCAGACTGGTGTACGACGCATCACGAATGCACGTGCATTTCCGAAAATGCCCATAAAATGTGTTGTTTATGTCGTAATCTTACGAAATTCAAGACATAAACAGATTGCGATACGAGGATTCTAATAGTGGTATTTCTGTCTCGAAAACTTTTATTCGAGCGAAGATATAGTCCAGCAAAGTTCAGAATATGTTTGTTATGTTGAACATCTGGTACGTATTTTTGAAAACACATATCTCAATGATTTAAAAAATTATAAATCGCTTGCGTTGTACCATAGACAAACAAAATTAGGTCTGACATGAGATTGTGAAACTGCGGTTCTAACAGTGGTATTTTTGTCTCCATCGTATGCAATGAACCGAAGATATCAACACGCAAAGCCGTCGATCGCTCAGGATCGACGCAACTGGGGCATGGCGAGAAAGAGTTAAAGTGCTTATGTCACAAAAAATTTTTTGATATTTGGTAGAGGACAAAAAGTTAGTTAATAGGTTCTTTAACATTTTTCGGTTTTCTCTTTTCATTCGCGAGATATGAGGATCTAAACCTTGAAAAATTGGTTTTTGGCGAAAAATTGTCGCGCCCGAGAAAAAACCGGAAAAGGGTCTGGGGCGAGAGCCGTGTGACGTAGCTTAAGGGACGGAAGTTCGAATTCACATGTGAAGGAGTACTAAAAAGCTATTGGGAAGACATATGTTTTCCAGCACTCATGGTTCTCAATGTGACTCAGATTACAATTATATTCCTTGGTATATTATACAGGATGAATCAAATGATAATAGTCACAAAATTGGAACTCTAGAAGCAGTTGATAGCGAAATTTTAGGCGATTATGATGCATATTGCCAAAATGCCGATGAGCCGCTAGCGAGCCAAGAATGCTACGCGCGATATCTGAAACTATGCGGAACACAAGGAACAAAACGAGATGCTACAACGAAGATTAGACAGCCTTGAAGATATTAAATCATGGTGAGTGTAAACATAGATTTATTTAACATTTTAACGTAAAATAAGTATCTCTGGCTGATATATTTTTGATACAGCATCAGTCATATCAAACCACACTTTCCTCACCTGTATCATATTTCACAAGTGTAAATGCGGCGATTGTGTGATAATAGATATTACATAATTTACATATACAATATACACACGAAGCTTGGTGCTGTCAGGAGATGGAATCTTGTAGGGAAGTTCTGAAGGATAACTTGGTTTAAGAACATGTGCCACAGCCGCCGTGCTGTATCACTCTACACTCGGGATTCAGACCTATTTGTTTGGAAAATGGGCTCTAAGAAAACTTGCGACTGGAGAAAATACAAGATTTCGTTCAATCGTTCGTATTAAATAAACGTGATCACAGATAAACACTGTAGCCTCAAACAAGAATATATACGTAATTTGCTCTGAACCAGTCTGTTTATATTTTCTTTGATCTTGTGTCTTGTATTTTCTTGCGAAGGTGAGGGAAGTGTGGTTTTAACTCTTTGATGTGACTGATGTCGTATACCGCAAAATATATTAGCCAGAGATACTTATTTTACGTTAAAATGTTAAAATAAATCTATGTTTACACTCACCATAATTTAATATCTTCAAGGCCATCCAATCTTCACTGTAGCATCTTGTTTTTTGCTTGTGTTTCGTATATTTTTTAGATATCGCGCGTAGCATTATTCGCTCGCTAGCGGTTCACCGGCATAAAGGCATGCATCATAATCTCCTAAAATTTCGCTATCAACTGCTTCTAGAGTTCCAATTTCGTGACTAGTATCATTTGATTCATCCTCTATAATATATCCAGGAATATAATTGTATTCTGAGTCACATTGAGAACTTTCCGAATCCGAGCTACTGCCTGACATGCTAGAAAATATATCAAATGTATAATGCGCGTCGAAATTAAGTCCCTTAAGCTACGTCACACCACGCTCGTCCCAGACTCTTGTTGATACACGACAATTTTACGAAAATCGCTGTTTATAGCCTTGTATCTGGCGAATAAAAATAGAAAACCGAAAAATGTTAAAGAACCTATTAACTAACTTTTTGTCCTCTACCAAATATCAAAAAAAATTTTTGTGACATAAGCACTTTAAAGTTATGTACTATATGAGTATGTAAGAATTGTATAGACCTTAGATTATTAGCACATGCGAACCATATGTATGAATTCAAATACTTATTTCCAACCATCTGACATTACAACATTTGTTGTGAATTTCCAATAACAAATGTTTTAATTCTTTTACTTTGGAGTAGGTTCAGGGCAATATTAACAATGTTAATAGTTTTAACCCTTTGAACACCACTAATAAACATCTGGGATGGGTAAACAGATAAATATTTTCACTATCTGGTATACAATACTAGTGCCAGATATTTTGAAGGCATTTAAATCACTTCCATTAACCAATGTGCATACTTCATACTGCAGTAATCATGTGTTGCATTTTCCTGATGTCAGAAAAAAAATTAAAATGTTCATATGACTATATACAGTATAGTATTGGTAGACATGGAAATTAAATTATGTGATATTTTATTTGGTGCATCCTTAATATTTGTTGAACTTTGAAGCATTAATATCTCACATACTCATGATTTGCAACAAATGACACACATAAGGGTTTTTCCATGTGTTGCCCTCCTACAGCATAAGGAAATATTGACTTGTTATGTTGTTGAATTTTTGTGGACTTGTTTCGGAATGACAAACATGAAAACAGGTTATTAAATAAAATAAGACACTAGTAGCAACAACACAAATACCTTTTCTTGTGTTACTCCCGGCTCTGTCTCTTCCAATTCTTGGTCTGACTCAATATATCTACCAATTTTTTTGGTAGTATGTTGTCCCCTCCCATGCACAGGGGTGTCTGTTGAACCAGTTGCACAATACCTTTTCAGGTATGCCCGAATATTTTCGTAGTCATCTGTTAACAAGCACAGTTTCATTAGATTGTTATTATTAGCTAATCAATATTAGCTAATAAGCTATTAGCCTAAACCCTGCAGAAGGCAGACATTAATTGCCCTAACTGCAAAAAGAAAATGTTCTATGCAATACTGTCTCAATATTATCTCTTTAAAAAATAAGTGTTTAAAGATGCTGTAAAGTCCGTTCTGTGCATATATACTGCACATCAAAACATTCCATCAGTGGGGGAGCAACCTTTGGAATGTTGTTAATACTTCGCACCTTCTGAACTTTCTTGAATTGAATCTCTAGTCTGTATTCATTTACAAGCATAACGAACCAGAAGAGTGTTAAAAATTCAGTATAATATATATCTAATCATATTTTACAACTGTCGCACTGAGTTCAAAATGTAAACAAAGCGTTTGTTTACATTACGGACTTTACATCACCTTTAACGAAGAAAAAAGCAGAGCTGTGAACATGCAGGGTCACAACAGATCTGTGACGTTCCCCCTTATCATGCCACAGACAGCTTCATCTACTCAAAGCTTCTTAATATAAAATGTTTCATGCAATGTTACAAGGCCACACAATTATGATTAATAATGTGATTATACGGCTTACTCTATTTTGCGAAACGAAACTTTGCGAAACTGTATTTTGCGAAACTGTATTTTGCGAAACTGTATTTTACGAAACTGTATTTTGCGAAACTGTATTTGGTCATGATTCTGCTAGTAGAGTTGGCCGGGATAGATAAATAATGATAGAGGGGGAATCGAGGCTGAAATTTGGGAGCGCGGGGGGGGGGGATTGAAATCACGAATAGTAAACACCACACAAGTTTTGGGTTGCACTTGAAACCAGAAAAATTTAAAACAAGAGTCACAAAACAGGGTGTTTTATATGCTTTGCATGTCATTATTACAAACATCCCCCCAAAATTTTGAATTCAAACAATTAATTTCTCTTGAAAATATCAACATTACTGATATCAGCATTATTTTGGAACACTGTTTGAAATGTGTTATAAACAAAATTGTGGTAAAAAGCTTGGTAAAAATCAAAACAGAACTCAGTTAACTGCCATAAACAAGAATTTAGATATATTGGCTCAAACTCTCTCTTATTTTAGCATTTTAATTTTTTGCCTCCCAATAGACGCGTTCCCTTCCTTTGAATTAAGATTACGATGCCCCTGGCCCCCCTCTAGTGTTATTTATAATCTCTATGGTGGTGTCGCCATATTTTCTTTCAAAATCAATCCACACCATTTTATATGTACATGTATAAAGTTCCATGTGAAAGCATTCAAAGCAACGTTCTGCACTTTGTCTTTGATTTATTTTCAGTCTTTATAAACAAATGTTTGCCAACTCTACTAGCAGAATCATCACAAAATATAGTTTCGCAAAATACAGTTTCGCAAACTACAGTTTCGCAAAATACAGTTTCGCAAAATACAGTTTCGCAAAATGCAATTTCGCAAAATACAGTTTCGCAAAGTTTCGTTTCGCAAAATACAGTAAGCCTGATTATACAGTATTACACAAAAGATTTAACTTTAGCCTCTTGTGTTTTTATGGTGGTATTAAAGGTGGCAATTATCTGGCAAATGCTGTTGACAATATGGCTGCATCAAATGTATCATATTACTATATAAAACTGTTTGAAGTGGAAATTTGTTTGTGGCTCCAGCAAAATGTTTCTAAACATCAGCTTTTAAGATTTAAACGATTTAACTTTAGCCTCTTGTGTTTAAAATATTTAACTTTAGCCTCTTGTGTTTTTATGATGGTATTAAATGTGGCAATTATCTGGCAAATGCTGTTGATAATATGGCTGCATCAAATGTATCATATTACTATATAAAACTGTTCGAGGTGGAAATTTATTTTTGGCTCCAACAAAATGTTTCTAAACATCAGTTTTTAGATGTACAAAGTAGTCATATAGATGCAATACATATATGTTAATGTAGGTTTTGATATATTGGTTAAACAATTTACAATGTTCTGCTCTAAATTATGTGTAAATTATGCTCTACATATATGCAACTCGGGCACACGGCCACAACCATATGTTTCTTCTAGTTCTAAACTTCAGTATTTCATTTTCCTGATTGAAGAGATCAAACTCACTTGTTAATATAAGAAAAACCAGCAAACACTTACCACTGAATATTATCACTTTTGCCACACAGGTTGTAGTTGGAACTAACATTGGATCAATGGAACCCTTAACGATTTTCTTTGACACTTTCGCAAATTCATGTGGCCATGCCACCATAACTTCTTTTTCTCTGTTCCAGCCAATGTACTTGCATCTTCACAACGAATCCAGCGTGTTTTGCCAATCTCACAAGACTTTTCATCAACAAATTCAAACAATGCATACTTCATTTTGAAGGAGAAAAAATCGCTATAAACACTATCGAGGTGATATAAACCAGTGGATAATTAATATTTGAATTTTGAAACCAACATATCACCATGAGCCCGCATTCTGATATGTAAATACAGAATGTGTTGGACTTTTGGATAGCGGTTTTGGTTCTATTGAACCCATGCCTATGCTCTGTCCAAAGCTATGTCCATGTGATAGCCACGCAGATGATGCAACATTTAGTTACTTACATAGACACCGCAACGTGTGGATGTAGATTGCAATTGTAGATGACTTTCTATAATTTTTATCATGTAAAATTATTTTTATGATAAGAAATAATATGGCCCATGACCAGTGCTGTAAGTATAACTTCGTTACGAGGTTACAAGTAACGAAATTACAAGTAATCGTTACTTTTTATGGTAACTTTATGGGTAACTAGTTACATTTTGCAAAGATGTAACTGTAACTAGTTATATTTTTGCTAAAAATGGAACTATAACAAGTTACATTTGTTAACGTTACTTTTCCGTTACATTTTCATGGTCATTTTTACCATTTCTGTAATGCTTTTACTCTGAAATGAACTGTTCGTAACACTTCGTTATTTCAAAATCTCACAATATTCCAATGCATTCTAAGGTGGGCTACATAACGTCCATCCTGTTTTGGTTTTGCTGACCACTGTTCACGGGCGCATATTACTCATATTGATTCATTGTGATTTAGTTGAATAATTCAATATTTAAACATAGTAATCTTCAGAATTTAACGCGTAATTGAGCATGACTTCATGCGAGCATCCTGGGCCGTATTTGGCAGAGATGTTTGAATGCAAGTCGGTCAAAGACAAAAACGCAAAACTGCTTTGTTTGCTCTGCCGACCAAAAGTTAAAGAGTGTTCGTCCAGTGTGTCATCGCTTTCAAATTTACGCAAACATGTTCAGGTAAGTAACTGATTTTAGTACACATTTTTATTGCACTGGTAAATTTACCAAATTGGACTGATTGGTGAACTGTGGTAATTTACATTTTACAAATTCATATATTAAACTTAAACTGAATAAAGAATATATGAAATTTCAAATTGGTTTTTCATAACTCTGAGGATGATTCTGAAATTAAATTACATTACATTTTACAGCCCATGTAATTTTTTAATCTCTTAGATTCATGTGCTTCATTGCACACCGCAACAGGAAGGGTTTTTTACACTCTAGTTATCAATTGTTGAGTTAGGAAATCAGAATGGAAATATTAAAGTAGTTTATAAACTATAGAAATTACTAATAGAACCTACTATATAGACCAGTAGTAAGATTATAACACTGAAATATACTGTAAAATATTGTTGAAATTATCCTAAATTTCAGAGGGTGCATCCATGTCAAATGGACAGATTTAATGAAATTTGTTCAAGTTCTCATAAACGAAAAGTGTCTAATGAGATTTTTGAAACACCACAAAAATGGGCAAAGCAGCAAAAAGTAGATGTTATGATAGCAGGTCCTGCAAATGCCAATCTAGTATCGCAAGCCAAAGTGAACGACCTCGTAGTTGAATTAATTACCGAGGGACTAATGCCATTTTCAGTCATTGAAATGCCATCCTTCAAGGCACTAGTTACAGGTCTCCAACCAAATCGGTCGGTAATAAGTCGACCAACAGTCATAAAAAGGATCAACGAGAAGGCGACCTTGGTTAAAGAAAATGTAAAAGATGCAATGGCAAAGGCTCAACATATTGCAACAACAACCGATTGTTGGACAGCTCACCGAAGATCATTTATTGGAGTTACCTCGCACTGGATTGATGAACAAACATTAGAACGAAAGAGTGCTGCTCTAGCATGTCCACGTCTCAAGGGTAGACATACCTATGATGTATTAGCTGCAAAGCTGGAAGATATCGATGTGGAATATGATATTCAGACAAGGATTGTCATGACAACAACTGACAGTGGATCTAATTTTGTAAAGGCATTTTCTGTATTTGGAGCTAATGCTGAACAACCAGATGAGTCAGATGACTTTGTACCTGAACACCTTACAAGAGCGGAAGACAGCTTGGAGTATCACCTTCCATCCCATCATCGATGTGCTGCACACAGTTTAAACCTAGTTTCTACTGTTGATGCAGAGAAAGCCGAGGAACACCTGATCTATAAACGATTGAGCAGGGGAACTTTTGCCAAATGCCAGTCACTCTGGAATAAATCATTGCATTCCTCCCAGGCAGCAGAAGTTATTGAGGATGAATGTGGTCTTGTCCTATTGAAACCAAATGCAACCCGCTGGAACTCAGTATTTTTGGCAGTGGAGCGCCTGGTCCGCATTATAAAGGAGAACAGCGAAAATGCTATCCACAAGCTATGCACAGAGTTAAATTTGCCCAAGTAAGCATCAAATAAATGTAGTAGCTCAGCAATCAAGAGTCAACAAGATTAATACATATATACCATTTATATTTGTATTTATTCAAAAGATTGAGTGTCTGTTTGTTTTAGAAATTTTTTGTGTCCTTTGTAGATTTAAACCAGCAGAAATCCAGTTTCTGAAGGACTATGCCCATGTGATGAAGCCAGTAGGACAATCATTAAATATTTTGCAAGGGGAAAACAATCATTCAAATGCTTATATGGACTATCTTGCTCCAACGATATCACTGCTGAAAGAAAAGCTACTCCAAAGGAGAAGCTCAACAACACGTTGGAACCCCTGGTAGATGCTTTGTTGTCTGGTATTGATAAAAGATTTGGTTCAATTCTTGGTGATGAGAAAATCATTGCTGCAGCCATTCTTCATCCAAAGTTCAAGGACCAATGCACTGAAGACAAAGATTTGGTTCAGAAAGGTAATAGCCTAATAAGATAGTTTTACAGTTCCATAAACAATAAGTCTTGTGAATAGTTCTGTAATTTATTAATTGAGTTACAGTACAGTCAATTATAGGATTAATTGATTTTACAAGCATATGTGTTATTATTTTCTGCTTCATGTGTTACTTTCTCTTTAATTAAATCCTTACAGGCATTAATGCCATCAATACAAAACTGGTACAAGTGGCCACTGTTGGTGATAGCTGTTTTGCTTTATTAGTAGCACGCCTTTTCTCCCAGTCATCTGTATCCGAGTCTGTTTCATCTGCACTCGACTCTGTTTCATCCCCACTTGAATCAGTTGAAGAAAGTGAAATACCTTCCACAGTTTGTTCTTTTTCTTGAATCGTTTTAAGATAGGCAAGTCTTGATGGTTCAATCAATGCCAGTTCCTCTTCACTAAACCCAAACTTTGGTGATTGTGACACAAACTCAATAATCAATGGATCCACTGAATGATGCTGATCAAACTTTGATTGAAATAAGGTTACAAAAGCAAACCAGTTAAAAGAAACTTCTCTTATTAAGCTAACAGCCATTTAGATATGTTTTCCATTTAGCTGATTTACTACATTTGTATCAACCAATCTTTCATAAAAAAATTCTTTCTCCGCTGTACTGCTGCTGTCACTGTCACTTTCTTGTGAATCTGTCCCATCAGATGATTCTGAACTACTTAATGTGAATTCGTTAATGTTTTCCCCACACGAAAGTAAGAACTGTCTTTGCTCCAACTTTGCCAAATAATGATGTTTATCCCTAATATCTTTCATACTGACTGCCGTTTCATTAATTTCAACAGCTTTCTTTCGCATTTTACTTATACTGTACAGTTTACTTGCTTGTCGTCTCGATAGACTCAGTGTGCTACATAATGTGTGCTTCATTAGTTTTTTGTCCGACTCTCCTTGCGCAGCAGAAAGTAACATGTTGTAATCCTCAACTGAGATGTATGATGGTTCAGTTGCAATTAAATTAAACTGTATATAGTTTTTCAGTGATGTATAATCCTGTATGCATCTTTCTTTTTTCTCAATTAAATAAACTGTTCCATTTATAGTCAGGGCACACACAGGTAGTTGCAGAAGTTTTCTTTGAGCTTTATCGCTGTTGTAAGGTGTATTTGTAAAACATCTATTCCACAGATATGGCAATGGAACTACATTTTTTTGAAGCACTAAATTTGCGGCATTGACCAAAGACAAACACTTCATACATATGTTATTACAAATGTGTATCCGTTCACATCTAGCTTTCTTAGCCAATATGTATTCAGATAAACTTAAACCTTCAAATAAACTAACTTTAATAAGAAAATCCAAAATTTGTTGAGGCTTAACATCTGTAATGTTTCTAGCCTCCTGTTTAACAAGAATGTCAACTAATTCAGTCAAAGTTCTTCCTTGAGAAGATCCCAAATAAGTTATTTGGGGATCCAAAGTCACAAAAAATTGCTTGTATTTTCTGTTTGTTCCTTCTTGTCGTCAACTGCACTATTCGACTTGGGCATATCTACAGGTTTCGGAAAGTTGGCTTTTTCCATGTTGCTTTCTTCTTCCTGCTCCTTTCCAATATCAACATCTTCTTTTTCCAATTCATTTGCTGCATTCAGTACATTTCTCAACTTAGACAATTTATCTACAGGACCCTCCTGGTCTTCTTCATCTGTGCAATCTCTTCATCAGTGGAAAGTATCACAGTATCATCGCTTTGTGGAGATTTTATTCGTGCTGAATTGCTGCTTTCACCTGCCTTGTCTTCCCGCCTTCTAATGAAAGATCTTATGTCTTTCTGAGAAACATTTTCAGATTCAGATGAGAACATTTCACTTTTACTTTGAGAGCTATTCCCTCTTTTCAGATACTTTTCATGCTTTTGTTGTTTTTCCGCATGGATGCCAGCTTCTTCTCTACAGTTCACAAATCCCTCATTGTTTTTCGTTGATCGCTATTGAATTTTGCACACAAATTAAAGTCCTTGCTAAAATTTGCTTTGTCTAGATCTTTCTGTTGTCGAATTTTCGTATTCATGGACTCTATTTCCGATATATATGTTTCAATTTTCTTTTCTCTTTCTGTTGCAGAAATCTTTGTTCTTTTGGGTGTATCATACTGACTTTCAAATTGTGACTGTGACCCAGATTTTTGTTTGAACACATAGCTACTGTGTGCAAGTTTTTCAGCACTAAGTTTGAGCTGAGCTCGATCATACAATTTGTCAGGTGTTTCTCTTGCTATCGAAAAGGCAGCATCATTCACCACTTTTTGCCAGCTTGAAATTTTTTGTTGATCTTTGAATCGTCCATAAATTTTAGATTGCTCCATTAAAACATCTGGGCTAATCCCTGGTTTCCCTGACGCAATAAGTGGTTGTGAAGAGGACTCGTGGGGATCTTCCAAGCTACTGGAACTTTGTGTGAGAGCACTATGAATGGTATTCTGGTTAACAATTCTTCCATACTTCTGCTTAAATTTCAGCAGAAGACCTTGCTTTTGAATCATTGCATTCATTGCCTCATTTGTTAGCAGAGCAAACGCACCCCCATCTATTTTGTTATCTGTGGAAAAGCAAAAGTATTCTGCTTATTAACTATATCGTGTTTGGCAAGTACTGTAGCTTGGTCTTTAGTTCTAGTACATAGATTTGGAAGGGTTATTTTCTCTCTTAGTTTGAAGGATCTTACAAAACAAATTTATGCAATAGAAGCCCTATAATTTGTGGAGCTTGCAAAATAACCCACTTCAGTAAACCAAAAAGATTTTGAAAACCTATGGCAACTACTGACAGTGCCACATACAGTAATTATGTACTTAGGTATTAAAACTTGATAGTTGACCTGCATCTAAGGAGGAAAGCGGACTTATAGCCTCATTAATATCATCATTGAGACGTAAGCATAAGCAAAATCGTTGATTCCTACTTGCTGGTTGCCGCTTGTGAATTTGCATGCTTCTAGGCAAAATACTTGGTTGTTATTGGTTGTGACTGAACAGGACTAAATCCTGAATAAATTGACTGTCGATATATGCATGTCGATCATAGTAAATAGTTATACAGTATTTGTATATGGAAATATTTCTTGTGGCAAGATTCAAGAAGATGGGTTCCCCACGCTCTTCTCAGATATCGAAAGGCTACGAATGTATCTGGAGATTGCTATATTAGTGCATTGTTTATGGCTAGTCCAACCACAATATAGAGATGGAGATAAATCCGCTTAGTTCAATGGCCTAGAAGCTATCCCTGAGCAATGGATGACCATGGCTAACAATTGGGAACACTAAAAGGAAACACAGTTGTGTTTCAGTTATGTTGGTTAGTGGCAAATGCACACAATTTACTGTTATGTAGTTACTCATACAACTATGCATGACAGGCTATACCAATGTAGGTATAACTCTTCAATACATATGCATGTAAAGTTGTTTTTTCTCATGTATAACACTTAGTAACACCCAGTGTCAGATTGTGCATTTGAATGCATAAACAACCATGCGTACCGAAAATGCATGGCAAACACAATTTAGACAAAACACTATGTTTCGATTTATCATATACTGTATTTACTATATATAGTTATGAAAGGTACTCGCTTTCTGTGCACCTATAATACCAGTCTGGGAATGAAATTCGCAGAGGCAAGCAAATTGATTTTTGTCCATATCATAATCTGCATACATAATTTGCTTTATAGGTCGCTTTAGAATATATTCACTAACATAACCAATCAGATGATCTTCAAATTTGACAAGAGAACATTGCATAAATGAATATAAGTCCTTAGATGCAGGTCAACTAATATAATGGAAGTATTTTATGTATGCCTATATAAAAAGCCACATTGCAGGTTGACTATAACCCTGACATGTTTTGGTACAGTCTGCTGGCAAGTCAGCTTTTTTTAAACTTTTTTATGAAAACAATTGTCTTTTTCAATGAAGTTGTGGCAACTTTACTCATTTTCCTACTTCTAGAGTATATAAAGATTTTGAACCTTAAACAAATAAATTATATTAAATGCAGACAGCCAGAGCCAGGTCACAAATTTTAGTACAACATGTCACAGGCATTTGATTGTAGTCACATACAGGCATGTAAACATATAGAAGGTATTATTTGTTGGCAAATTGGTTAGAGTCATTGTCAACCACAATCCATTGCATGCCCCAAACCTGCTTGGCGGCTGTTTTAATGGCAGAGAATGGCTGTTTAGGTTTTCAAACCATAATATATTTCAACCATCATAGAAATAATATGTCATAATATATTTCAACCATCCTAACTTATTAATAATAAAAATGCACCAAATAAAGGGCCATTCCATTTAATATCCACATGCCTCTATGGGCGAGGTCAGTAAAACTTTAACCCCTATGAAAAAAAGATCAAAGTGCTGACACAAAACCCCCCTCAGAAATTTGTAAATTTTCCCCTTACCCCTCAGAAATATCGCAGAGATCAAAAGATGCCGACAGGCTTAACCCCTCAGAATTGACTTTGGTCTCACCCTTCAGAAAAATTCGTCCATAGGGGGGTGTCGACATTTATAAATGGAATGGCCAAAATGTTGCTGGATTGCCAAATTTGAGGTCAAATATGTAGTATTCAGCAGTATTTTGAAAGTATTGCCTGGCTGCCAGGCTTATCAGACAGAGTTTCATATTAATATAAATAATAATTGTAAAAAACTGCCCAGTATATTTGGATAAAATTACTGTAAAATGATATATTAAAACTGCAAATAGGGCTACTCGAAAAGAATACAAGATTTTGCCTCGAAGACACATTCCTCAACTCACTCAAGACGATTGTCTTGAAGGACTTTGTGACCGTCTTTGTGACTTGAATCGATCTACATAATTATTTACATATTCATAAAATGATTGAATATTTTATTGAAATGCATGAAAATAAATACCTTCAAAAATATCCACCAACTTCTCCAGGTTGTTTTCCTTCAGCCAATCACTTACAAACTTTATTTCTTTCCCAGCAAACTGATCCATATTGTCAAACTGATATAATATTAAACACACGACCAACACAAAAATGCAAAAGTCGACTACACAAGGCGCTGAATGACGACTGATGTCACTGACGAGCGACCATTTGATCTCGATAAAGTTGGGTTTTTTCCGCTAGTGTCAAATGTCTGGGGGTCTTTTAGCCGCTAACCAATGTCCGGCCACGGACCACTAATCTGTGAGCCAATTCACGGCCCCCGGGAATGCCGTGCCCAGCTAATGCCCTGCAGTGTTCCGGGGGGGGGGGGATGGTTACTCATGGAATTGACTCATGCATAACATGATACTTGTATATATCAGAATCACTTGTAAACTTAATAATGAACACTATCTTCTCATCATAATATTCCTGTTGTTTAATTTGTCATATAATTGATGTGAATTACCTGTACTCAAAAAATGGTTCTTGCTAATCGCCGAGCCAGCGGCGCGAAGCGCCATGCGAGGGTACTAATTCTCCCCGGCTATTTACACCCGGGGAAACGAAAGCATTAGCGAAGTCTAAAGTTCATCAATGAGCACAGGCGTCGGTCACAAACAATGAGTGGTCATCCTCACTGATCTCAAAAATATGGCGGACTGTCATGAATAACGGACACTGATTGGTCCAATTTAAAGTTTGTATCATAACGACTGCATGACGACAGCGAAATAGCAAACATTTCTTGATTTGATGATTGATAAATTTCTTGCAAATATATTTCATTTTTGCTCGTATTTCTGCAAGATTTTGTAAATTTCAAGAAAGATAGGGCGAAAGAAACGTGACGTGACGCGCGCGAGCAGCGAGTCAAATTGCTCCGTAAAATTGTCAATTTTTTACCTCATTTCTTCATCCTCGTGGGGTAAATCTCTTATAAAATTGTGGATAAAGTGTTTATCTTTGGAAAAGTTAAGTTGGTTTGGTGCAATCTTCAATATTTGCTTTTATTTTGGTGGATTACTTGTCAAATCGCAAGAAATTTCAGTTGATCTTAAAGCTTGATTGGACGGTTGATTCTGACGTGCGCATACCCTTGCGTGACTCAAAGAACAACTACGAACCGTGTTCGTTTCGAGCGCGTGCGTAATAACGGCCATCAATTATAACAACAATCCCGTTTTAATCAAAACTTTTCAGAAAAATACCAAGAAATGATACTTAAAATCCGCCAAACTTTTCCTATATCGACGTCATTTTGGATCTTGTTTCTCGTGGTATCTTTCTGGCTATCTACAAGATCTAAGCCTCAGCTTATAAACCCCAAAGTCAAAACAGTTCCTTGGAATGTTTCAGTCGCTTCAGAACTTGCATCACTTCCAAATAGACTGGGATGCCTTTGGACTTCCACGCGTGACAACATCTTACGGAAATATACCTGGCCTTCAAATTCTAACTATCGCTATGGTCTGCAATTTAATATTAAGAATAATACGCTCCATCTATTCCTGTGTATCCTGCTCGCTCGTGATATTGCCACCAATCCCGGTCCTACCTGCAAAACTACAAACTTTTTTCTATAAAGTGCGCCACAGTAAATGCCAGAAGTTTGAAAAGTGTCTACAAAGATGTCACCACTAACTCAACTATCTGTAATCTAGAACGATTTGAAGACTTCGTTTATGGTGAAAACCTTGATGTCATTTGTGCGAACGAAACATGGCTCAACAAGAACATCAGTAATGTGGAGATTTTACACAATCTTCAGGAAAGACAGAGTAGGACGTCATGGTGGCAGAGTCCTGGTTGGCATAAAAACAAACTCGTTTTGTTCGGTGAAGGAGTTCTCTCTTAATTCGGATGAGGTGGAAGGTTTATAGGTCGTTTCAGCAATCTTAACAACTGCTTCAAACAAACGCCTTCTATTTTCTTCATGCTATTGACCACCTGACGCTGAGTGCACTTGGATGGGGAAATTTAACAATTTTCTGGATCACGCTTGTGATCAGTTTGAGAACATTGTGATTTCTGGCGACTTTAATCTTCCTAATATCTCATGGGACTTAACATTGAATACATCAGGAGTGAATGAAGTAAACTTTATTGATATACTTAATGATCATTTCTTGACCCAGGTAAACTCCACACCAACTCGTGCCAACAAAGTATTAGATCTCGTGATTACAAGCGTTCCAGAACTTGTAACTGTGTCTGAGATACTCAGTCCAGAGAAAAGCGAGCTGATGACAGATCACTGTGCAATTCTGCACGAATTTTCTGCATACGTAAAAGCTCAACCAAGAACCGAGAGATTTGTTTACAATTATGGCGCTGGTGACTTTGAAGGACTTCTCAACGCATTAAATGCACTGAACTTAACGACTCTTGTCGAAGGTGCCAATGACATCAACACCGCCTGGCAAGACTGGAAGGATGTGTTTACAACAACCGTCTCACACTATATTCCGATGAGAAAAATGAAAGGACGTAATCCTGCTCCATGGATCAACGGTGCCATCCTTACCGCAATTAGAAGAAAGGAGTCAGCTAGGCAAAAACTAAAGTCATCTCCCAACAACTACCCACTACAGCAAAAATTCAAGACCTTGCGTTGTGAAGTAAAACGTATGTTACGGGAAAGTCGGAAAAAGTTCTTCACCTCTCTGGCAACTGATGTCAATCAAAGCCCGAAGCGTCTGTGGTCGGTACTAAAAAGAACATCAAAGTCAAGAAACATCCCTGACACAATTTCATCAGCAAGCAACAACGACACAGCTGGCGCAGCAACATCTCAACGAGTATCGGCCGATAACCCAGAAAGCATAGCAAACTTGTTTAATCAATACTTTGCGTCAGTATATTCTAGAGAAGAATCCAACGGGGATGCAACCAGCGGAGCTGACGAACCAATCCTAACTGATTTGACAATTAGTGAAGTCGAGGTATCCCACATGTTGAAATCTCTTGATACAGCCAAAGCAACAGGACCTGATGGTATTCCCGCTAAGTTATTAAAAGAAACAGCGGACGTTATTGCACCTTCTTTGTGCACACTCTTCAATAAGTCAATTTCCTCGGGATCATTACCAGACGAGTGGAAAACAGCCAACATAGTACCGATACACAAAAAGGGTGACAACGAACACGCCGAGAACTACCGTCCTATTTCTCTACTGTGCATTATCTCGAAGGTTTTAGAACGCTGTGTGCTAAATAACGTCAAATACCGTTTACTAGAAGCAGTCAACATCTGTCAACATGGGTTTATATCCGGACGATCTTGTGTGACTAACCTGATTGATGCCCTCAACTACGTTGGGTCATGCCTGGATCGTGGTGGACAAATTGATATGATTTACATGGACATGTCCAAAGCTTTCGATAAGGTCAACCATGATGTACTGATCCAAAAGCTGCGTAACGACTATGGTTTTGGAGGCAACCTGCTCAGATGGTTCCGCTCATATCTGACAAATCGCAAACAGCGCGTAACAGTGTTCGGAGCTACGTCAAACCCTCTGTCTGTAACTTCTGGAGTGCCACAAGGTTCTATCCTTGGCCCAGCATTGTTTCTCTTGTACGTCAACGATCTGCCGAGTACAGTTAAATCAAGTCAAGTTGTAATGTTCGCGGATGACACGAAACTCTTTAAAGAAATACGAACGGAAAACGATGCAAAACAACTACAGAACGACATTAGTAACCTCGAATCTTGGTCAACCACTTCAGGCTTATCATTTAATGGAACTAAATGCAAAGCACAGACAGTTACTCGTAAGCTTAAACCGATCACTACCAGCTACACAATGAAAGATTGTCAGTTAACATCTACCAAAAATGAGCGTGACCTTGGTGTCTGGATATCCACCGACTTAAGATGGAACAAACAAGTGAACCAACAGTGTGCTCGCGCAAACAAAGAGCTAAGTTACATTAGGAGAAACACACGGACAATCCACAACACAACAACAAGGCGAACCATCTACCTAGCTCTCGTACGTTCACATCTCGGTTACGCGACCCAAGTATGGACACCTCAGTCGGTTGAATTACTGACGAAAGTAGAAAGAACTCAACGACGTGCGACGAAATTCATCCTTAACCTGCCATTTACTTGTTCTGTTGACTATACATCCAGACTGCAGGCTCTCCAACTACTTCCAATATGCTATTGGCACGAGTATCTTGATATGGTGTACTTTTTCAAAGTAATCCACGGCTTAACAAACTCGTCCTTTGTTTTACGTAAGAAAACGAGACTGAACACAAGAGCTTCTAACAACACCAATACAGCGAAGTACGAAGTACCGCAATGCAGAACAACGACTTTCCAAAAATCTTTTTGGATTAGAACAATCCGAACTTGGAACACTTTAACGGACACGTTAGACTTAAGTATGGAAAACCTGGGCACGTTTAAGTCAGTAATGCAAAGATATTATTTTGCCGCATTGGAGAAAGCGTACGAATGTGATGATCCAAGAACATTTAAAACTATCTGCCCGAAATGCAACAGTGCAAGAACGTTAACCGAACCAGTGAACTGCTGTTTTTAGGCGTTTTAATTGTATATATGTTTGTGTTTTAATCTTTTGGGCCCACAGTAATTGGCTTTTCAGGCTGTTGTGGTTACCCAGCCATCAGTTTAGTGTGTTTGTATTTGTGTTTGTGTTTGTGTTTGCGTTGTGTGGGTGCGTATGTGTTTATGTCTATATCACACAATGATGGAAAAGCAATTAAATTAAATTAAATTAAATTAAACATGCATACTCAGTGACGTCACGCGCGTGTTCAGTCGCTAGCAAAAACAATACAAACTTTGATAAGATTTTGATGGAAAAAAGTTGCGGAGAAACTGTTTAATATGCTGGGAATAAAAAGTAATAGACAGAATAATTTGATAATGTTCTTCAGCATCTGGGCTGCTGGATTTGCCATGAAAGACATTGTGTTTGAGTGGATGTAGTCGCTTGTTTGGAGGGACAAAACTATAAACAATACTCCGATTGCCGAACAAGGCATCTAGGAAGTTTTCCTAGGAACATTCCTAACGTTATTTAATTGTATAGTCTGAAACGCAACAATTATAATAAGGCATCTTTTAGTTTAGCTCGTTCACTATAACTTGTTGTACCTCCATACATCAACTAGACCCAGTCTCTGCTCGATTGGGAAATGGCTAATTGTATTTTTTTGCCTTTCGCCGAATATATATCCATCAGTTTTTATCAGAAGCATTGCAAGTACTTTCTATGACCTGTTTTATACGTCGAATTTCGGTCGCGTCGAATTTAATTCAAACAATTATTATAAACGCGATACTGAAACAGTTATTGGATGAGGCCTATCAGTCGTGAGTCGAAGGCGAGATTCGGAGGTTGATGATGATGATTCGGGATATGAGAAAAACCGAATTCAATAACCGTTTCATTATACGTTGCGTTCTCATTAACTCTTTCGACAAATCGTGATTTAGTTGCGCGAAACAACGTTTGGTTCTAAACTGAAAGCAGTGAAAACGACGATTTAAAATCTCACAACAACAGCATGAATGTCAGAAAAATCAGTATCTCATTTACCTAAGTTTCGACAAAAATGCTTTTACCTTTAATTTATTTCCGAGCTAGCTACAAATAAGCTCTGTTTTATGTCACTTGTATTGTCGAGAATTCGCCTCCAAAATGTAGGCCTCGACAAGTCACAAATGTTCGAAGTAACAAAAATGTGTATTCAAACAAAACATAAAATTTACCAAAGATATAAAACAACATTAAAAGGTTCACAATGGTCACGATTACGTATAGGTAGCGCCCGGGCTATTATCCTTCTTTCACAATACAATTTCTCACTCGTCAATTTCTCACAATACATTTCTCACTAGTTAGGTTTATTTGTATGTATAAGTATGTATGTGTGTGTATATGTGTATTGATATATACTTTCTTGTAAAATACTCTTCAGAAATTGGAGGTAATAAAGATTTTAAACTCACTCACTCACTCACTCACTCACTCACTCACTCACTCACTCACTCACTCACTGTCACAGTCCAACTACGATTGTTCAACTAACTCTCTGCTCTCTTTCGCGACTATTTCACTCACACCCTCACTTTGACATGCACTTGCCACATTTAAGGGGAATTGTAAATCTTCTTTGGAAAATACGAAGGCGAAACTAGAATCATGTGAGATTGAGTTAAATAAAAATGAAGAAAACATAGCAAAACATGAAAGCAATTTTCAAAAGCTATCTAAAGACCTTGAGAAACTTAGAAAGGAAACAAAAGAAATTGGCAAAGTAAAATCAATTAGTAAAAACCCATTAGCGATAACAATTGAAAACCAATCTTCTGAGTCAAACAAAAATATATACGTAGAAGCTGCAAATACAATTTTGAGCTCAGAAGAAATTAAAACAAAAAAAACTGACAAAGCAAAATCAATTAGGGAAAATTCATTAGCGACAACAATTGAAATCCTATCTCCTGAGGCTAATAAAAATACATATGCAGCAGCTGTAAACATAAATGCAAATCTGAGCCCAGAAAATCACTCGAGTGTTCCAAAAACTAATCCAACAAAACATAGTTCCAAAGACAGTTCTCAATTACTGAAACCGGCAAAGGGAAACAACAGCCCGAATAAGCAACACAGTCATGAAGCTCATAGTGATCATTCAGCAACAAGCAGTGTTAACGATGACCATGATTTATTTGTCGGAGTTGAAAAGAGGAAAATAAAACGACTCTATTTAGGGGGCGTACGCGAAGGGGTAACAGATAAGTTAATTTCAAACTATATCAATAAAAAGGGAATTACCCCAACGTTTGTAAGATTAATGAAAAGCAAGAGGAAAGGCACCGTAGCCGTCCGAGTAAACGTTCTAAGTGAAGATTTTGATCGCGCCTCGGAGAAAGACTTTTGGCCTAAGCACGTATACGTTAGGGAATGGCTTTCTAAACAAAAGTGGGTAAACAAAAATAGCTCGAATGTCGGACCTACGAAAATTGACGAAAATTAAACTTGGCTGCTGGAATTGTGGCGGAGTTTATGGAAGCTTTATTTATGTAAAAACGTTGTTGCGTTCATTGGATATTTTAGCATTAAGCGAGCATTGGTTGTATGAAGATGAGCTGACATTTCTGGACAGTCTAGATAGTAACTTCGATGTTATTTCGTGTAGCAGCTAAAATAATAATATAAACGAGCGGTGGAGAAGGGGCCAAGGCGGTGTTGCACTGCTTTTCAAAAAATGTTTAAAAGCGCGAGAAATACAAACTTCCTGTGATCGTATAGTATCGGCATCAATAATAATAGAAAACATAAAAATTGCTGTGGTATCAGTCTATTTTCCATCTACGAACTACAGTTTTACGGATTATCTAAACATACTTTACGAGTTAGAGCAGTTTTGTATCCAGCAGAAGAGTTATGGCTTTAACTTGGTCCTACTTGGGGACTTCAATGCACATTTGCAAGAAACAAGTCTGCATCAGATGTTAAACAAAAGGGGACTTAAACTACAGGAATTTTGTAATGTGTTAAATCTAATTCCCGCGAATGTATCACCTGTTTGTGAACATCCCCAATTTACATATATCTCTAGAACTGGAAACTCTATTGTTGACTATGTGATTATTGATAATACATTAATGCAGTTTTTCGATTCAGTAGAGAGATCTTGTGAGCATCCTGACAATACAGCATTTCATTTACCGCTGAAACTATGCTTGTCTGTCCAAGTTTCGGACCGAATTTCAAACGATATCGGAAATCACAGTATAAATACTTATGACAAAATACCATGGAAACGATGTACTGCGGAACAACTGAATAGTTATCAGGAAAATCTGAACTTATTAATAAGTAATGCTTGGGAGAATATTAATTTATGTGATGCAAACGTTATTTATGAGGAACTGATTGAAATTATTAGAAACGCAGATCAAATGTTACCAAGAGTGAATTTTAAAAAGCATATAAAACCGTTCTGGAACAAAAAACTTAAAGATTTAAGAAAATCCGTCATGGCTGCAAGAGCAGATTGGATAAAAGCAGGATCTCCAAGACAACGTAGTAATATTTTCTATATAAAGTATAAAAAACTAAAATGCGAATACAGACGTGAGCAGAGGAAAGCCGTGTGGGAGTATGAGAGGAAAGAACTTAATGATATCGGTAATCTGCAAGACTTAGATAATGAAAAATTTTGGAGACTGTTAAATAATAAGGCATGCAGGAATAACAAAAAGAACAAAAAAATGGTATTAGAGGTAAATGGTAAAATTATCACGGATTCACAGCAAATGGCAGATCTTTGGGCAAATTATTTTGAACAGTTAGCAACACCTTCAGAAGATGAGAATTTCGATCGAATTCACCGAATTGAAATTGAAAATGGAGTAAATGATATCGTAGAAAAATCAGAGAATGCTCTAGGCTGTATATTTACTGTACCGTTAACAACTCAGGAAATTTCGGAGGTTATTAGAGGCCTACCAAACGGAAAAGCCCCCGGGTATGACGGAATCACGTATGAGCACCTAAAATGTGGTGGAGAAATGATTATACATGCATTATTAAATCTTTACACTTGTATTATCGATAGAGAAGAGATTCCAAGTTCATTTAAATTGGCAGTTAAAATCCCAATTCCTAAGGGCAATAAGAAAACACACATGTTTGATGATCATCGAGGGATAAGTCTGCTGCCCTGTGTTAATAAAATCTTGGAACGTATAGTATTATCACGATTACAAAAGCAACAAAATTGTCTCCATCATCCGCTCCAGGGTGGATATCAAAAACAACAAGATGCTCTCACGACATGTTTTGCAATTGAAGAGGTGCTAAATCACTGTTCCGAGGACAATGATAAAGTCTATGCAGCCTATATGGACATCTCAAAAGCTTTTGACACTATGTGGATTAATGGAATGCTTTACAAGCTATACTACACCAAAGGGGTAACTGGTAAAACTTGGCGGCTCATACGAAATTGGTACTTGAACATGAAAGAATTTGTTATCGTTGAAGGAAAATCATCTCGTATATACGAGCTAGGGCAAGGTACAAGACAAGGTGGGGTTCTATCACCCTGGCTTTTCCTGGTATTCATAGACAACCTTATCGAGGAATTGAGCAACATTAAATCTGGAATTTGCATCAACACCGTGTATTTCGGATCACCCATGTTTGCGGACGATCTAACTATGCTATCACGTATGAAATCTGGACTGGACAAAATGTTACGATGTGCTTCGGAATACAGTAACAAATGGAGATTTACATTTAATGCTACGAAAACGGTAGTTTTAACGTTTGGTGAAAGCTATCGGGAACGTAGTGTAAATCGCAGCATTAGAGATTGGCATCTTGGGTCACGAGTTATTTTGGAAAAGGAATGTTGGTTCAATCTTGGAAAAATATGGCATGTAAATAAGGATTCGTCTGCATTCGTTTCCAAGGCTGTTACCAGAGGAAGAGAATCCGGAATGGTTTTAATGAAAATGGGAGCTCGATATGGAGGATTAAATCCTATAATTTCAGTTCAGTTATGGAAGCGGATTGGTATCCCAAAGATGTTGTACGGTTCCGAGCTCTGGCAATTGAATTGTAATGACATTGTTGAACTGGAAAAAGTGCAAAATACTACGGTGCGTATTATACAGGGGTTATTACCTGGAATATCAGGGTCTGCTGCGAGAGGGTTGCTGGGCTTACCACCAATCGAAGCTGAAGTCGATAAACGGAAATTGTATTTTCTGGGACGACTTATACTAATGAGTCATGGTGTTCCGTGCAGAAAGATCTTCCTCATGAGATTAATACGTTGGAAGTGGAACCATACAAACACCTTAAAAGGATTCATTCCAAATATTGTACGAATTCTTTTGAAATATGATCTCATGGACTTTCTAACAGGGTATATTTTATCCGATCAATTTCCAAGCAAATCTGCATGGAAGAAAATTGTTAAAAAACATATATACGAGTACTATAACAATATCTGGCAAGAAAAAATAAGTACGCATGGTCAACTAAAACTTTATGCAGAAGTTCATCCGGTGATTGAAATTTCACCATGGTGGTTATTAGCTAGAATGAAACCGGACTTTATGAAAGAAATTAATGATGTTCTAAGACTACTCTGTGGATCTTACAAAATTAAAGGAAAACGGGTGAACAAACCAGAAACTTATAGAGACTATTGTAATGTTTGTAATAGCAATTTCTTAAATCCTGTAAAGCATGCATTACTTTATTGTAATGGCACAAGCCAATTAAGAGAAGAACTATGGGAATGGATAAACGATACTATGCCATTCGAAATGGCAGTACATTTAGCAAGTTTGACAGACATGGAATTTCTCTTAGTTATATTAGGTAAAAAGTTAGAAGCATTATGTGCAAACACAGACATATGGACGGAGCTATTGCTGAAATCTGCAAGTTATGTTTCCTTTTGTTATAGGAGTAATTTAGTTAGCTAGTTAGGTAACAATAGTTAGTTTTTTCACTATCTTTATTTTATTATTAATACTTCCTTTGTAAATATACCTACTCTTCAGAAATTGGAGGCAATAAAGATTTAAAACTGACTGACTGACTGACTGACTGACTGACTGACTGACTGACTGACTGACTGACTGACTGACTGACTGACTGACTGACTGACTGACTGACTGACTGACTGACTGACTGACTGACTGACTGACTGACTGACTGACTGACTGACTGACTGACTGACTGACTGACTGACTGACTGACTGACTGACTGACTGACTGACTGACTGACTGACTGACTGACTGACTGACTGACTGGCTGA